CGGCCGGTCGGCTGAATTTCCCGCCCAAATGGAAAAAAATTCCAGCTGCGGATTATCCTACGTGGGACGAACCGATCCAGCCAATCCGATCTACTTGAGCTTCCAGTGTGGTGATGTAAGAAATTTTGGCCGGCCGGCCGACCGACCGCCGACCAACCGCCGAAGAAATTTTTGCCAGAGAGTGTTTGCGTACGCAGCATTGTTTTTTCAAAAAAATCATCGTAAAAAATGTACACAAACACTCTCTGGCCTTTTTGACGCGTAATTCGGCAGGCGGTCGGCGGGCGGTCGAATGGAAGCCTCTCGAATTGTTCCAGTTACAGTAACCCTTTTTCAGAATCGCGGAGTAGCAATGCACGAAACCATGCACGCTTTGGGTGTTAGTCACCAGCATCTTCGGCTTGATCGAGATAAATACATCAAGGTTGGAAATCAAATTCTGAAATTTTCAGACTAAAAGTTTCCAGATCGATTGGTCCAATATCGATCCTCAACACTACGACACCTTTGCGATATCCGATGCGAAACTCTACACATCCTATGGTACCAAATACGCCTACGACTCTATAATGCACTACAACGCCTATCTCGGCGCCAAGGATCCATCGAAACCGACAATGATCCCACTGGTGAATCCCGCTGAAAATACACCAAAACTCGGTCAACGCGCCAAGCTCACCCGAGCCGACATTCGGTTGTTGAAGAAAATGTACTGCCGTCCCGGGTGCGACGATCAGAATGTGCATTGCGGGACGTGGGCGTTGCACGGGTACTGTAAGATGAAGCAACATATGAAGTGGATGAATGATAATTGTAAAGCTATTGTGACAAGTGTTGATAATAAAATGTATATTGGAATTTTTGAAAAATAACAAAACAAGAAAAACAATAACAACAAAGCATGATAATAACGAATTATTTGGCTACAGTAAGCCAGTTGGAGATGTGGAAATTGATGTTCTTCGGCGTCACCGTTTGGTTTCGCTTCTTGGCCGTCTTCTCGAGCTCGTCCAGATACTTGGTCTCGACACGATCGTACGCTTCTTTGGCGTTGTCCGTAAGCTGTCCCATCAGGATCCATGGCTTTCTGGAAAAGTGATAATTGTGTTTAATCAGACAACAGCCTTCATGAATAAATAATTTGGTTCTATGTGTCATTCCCCACACTATCCGAAAAAACGATTTTTTTCCACGTCCCGGGTGTTTGTGACGAATGCATCAAAGCTCCGCCCCTTTCATCATCCCCAATGTCCATTTCATGATTGTGCAATACACAATCATTTACACAAAACCACCATCGCCAACCATCGCTTTTTCTTTTTCTTACATTTTTTGTATCTGACAGGATGACAACCACGTTTCGAGCTGAATCCGTGGGTGACTATTGGACTAGTTGCGAGAATCGGTGAGTACTGTAGATGGATGACTAATGCTGACTAATGATGGGAAGAAAATAAACTATGTACTGTAATCCATAGTTTTTTAAGGGCCAAAAACAGGCCAAAAAGTGGCCGAAAACGGGTCGAAAATGGGGACCTGGCGGGCCCTGCCATAGCTTATCTTAGGATAAAAAAATTCGCCCAACTAAATTGGATATTATAGAACTCAATGAGCACTACAAATTGAAACTATTTGGAACACTGTATCATGTCTATGAACAAAGTTACAAAGCCATAAAGCTTCCTAGTCTATAACTTTGTTCATAGACAAGATACAGTAATCCGAATAGTATCATTTTGTAGTACTAGTCCAGTACTCTCATATCGAATTCAGTTGGTGCAGGATTATTGATTCTAAAGGAAGTTATGACAGATCCCGCCATGGCCCGTGTTCCGTCTGTTTCCAAGCCTGCTAACCCCTAAAAGTTTCAGCTGGAACATCGAACTTGGTAGACACCGTAACAAACGACTCTTCTTTAATCCATGCGTCATTGGAATGAGCCTTGAAGAGGGCTACGCGCATTTTGAGAACGAGCATGGCAACGAGAAGCTCGAAGGCATTCTGGCCTTCATTATGAAGACGTCAAGGAGCTCGATACCACTCAAAGAGCTTCTTCAAACCGACTTCGTGTGCCGTCGTGGACTTCTTCGCAACATTGCCATCAATCAACACTCTTCAAACTACATCAGTTTCTTTGGCGTTCGTCAGCGTGGAGTTATCTTCTTGTGTGAAGATAAAGCATTTGGAGGACTGCCTGATAAACTGCGTCGTGCCATGTACTACTCGCTTAAGTTTGAGCAATTGATGACTCTTCCGGTAGGTACGGTAGTAAGCAGAATTCGAACAATGACTCATATTCAGCAGTCGCGTCATGTTACTGCGTCGAAGACACAAGAGACGAAAACTGTGATTCAGGCGAGCTTCGAGAAAGAGGGCGCAGAGCCAATTCGTGTATTCTATGCGGCCGAGGTGGACTGTTTGGATCCAGCTGGAAATCCTGTAGAATTCAAAACTATCAGCAAACCACTGGAAACCGGGTGGGACAAGAATCGCACAATGGCTTGGTACATGCAGTGTGCCCTAGCTAATGTGAAGACTGTGGTCGTTGGTGAGAGGCAGAGAGTCAGCTTGAGAAATGTTAGTTTTTTAATCTCACAAGGGAAGTGTTTTCAGAGGGGCGTTGAGAATTTGCTGCAAATTTGTACAAAGACACTTTCGAACATGCCGAAAACGGTTTCAGCAATATCTCGGTCCCATTCCCAATAGGAATCAAAATATGGGCTCTCAAAGTGTTTTCAGTACTGAGTTTTGGCTAAAAATGCTCGTTTTACGAGCTTTGTAACTCGTTTTTCAGGATGTTTTTGAATGCGAAACTCATTTTCGATTATTTGAACATTTCTCTATCATCTGAAACAGTTTTTTAACATTTTCAACAAAAAAAATTTTTTTTGAAAAATTTTGAAAAAAATCACCATGGGGTCCCCCACACTTTGAAAGTGATTTTTTTAAAAGTTTGAAAAAATGTTCCAATTATTCAGAAACATAAAAAATAGCATTCTGACAAAATTTGACAGCCCAATTTCGTCTTTGGGCTCAAAAAATCTCCAAAATGTGATTGTTGTTAGAACTTTGACTATCCGTAACTTCTTGAACATAGCTTGAAATGAACTGAAATCTATAGAAATAGGTTCATATCTTGTGTGCGATCGATTCAACAGCACCTCATAAAATACTTATTTACTTGGAAAACCATTGAAATTCATCAAAAAGTATCAAAAAGTGTCTAGAGGGCCGAACTGGAAATCTAAAATTGGTTTCAAAAAACGCAAAAAAGTTTTACTACAGTGGGGTTCGAACCAGCATAATCACGCCTAATGAGTCACCTTCTTACCACAACACTACACAGCCACATTTTCTTATCACGTGAAAGTGGTAGAGGAAGGAGGGGGAAGCTGGAATCGCTTGTGTGGCAAAATCGACCCACAATTTCAGACGAAGATTTTCAGCTTTCTGGTGAGAATGGGACCTAGATTTTTTTGTCATCGTGTAGAGGATGTCTCTAACTATATGCACTGAAATTTTCAGAAAATTCTCAACGCCCGTCTGAAAACACTTCCCTTGTCAGAGAACCACATATCAATTTTCATTCAGATCAAAATCCTGGAGACCGAAATGATCTACGCCAATCGAAATCATTCGTGGAGCCGAGAGTCTTGTTTCGAGCATATTCATACCACGTTGTCGTTTGTCAAGCATCATCTGACCCACGACGGAATGTCATTGAAATTCACTGCCATCAACGGCACTAACTACGTCTCCACCACTCCCTATGGAGAGTATATCGTTCCACAGAACTTCCTTCGTCATTTTCCATTTTAATTAATCAATGTATTTTCATGATTCTCTTACCCTGTGCTTTAATTTCTACCATACCGCTTCACTAGGCCACCCTTACAAATAATAAACTCACAAAGACGACAATTGCGGGTTCAATTTGAAGATTCCTGTCGACGGAACACCGTACAGAATGTTGTTAGCGAATCGCGACAGCTCCACGTTTCGTCGCCGAGCCAACATTGATAGCTCATCACGAACATCACTAGCAAGAGCGTTAGCCACATCTGGATCATCAATGTCTTGGCGGAAAACTCCAGGAGCTCCTCCTTCTTCGTCTTCGATCATCGATGACAGTTTTGGATGAGCCTGAAAATTTTCAGATGAGGATTCAGTTAGAATCCCTAGCTTAGAAAATAAGAACTTACAATGAAAAGAGATCGAACGAGCGAGACGATACAGAGTGCTGGAAAATCGTCGAGAACTGTGGCGATTGAGAGAAGCCGCTTGACAAATGCAGCAACTCTAGATAAAGGAACTGCTTTTCTCCTTGTTACTAACATGGTCTCCAATGTCTTCGCTGCCATTACAATTTGATTTTTTCTTTGCTCTGGACGCTTTTCAAATGGAAAATGATTCAGGACTCGATAGGCAAGTCGATAGAACTTCGATGGGTCAATGTTTAGAAGCTGTCCGTCTCCTGACAGAATAACGAACACTGTATTGATGCAGTGAAGTTGATCCAACGGCTTCAAGTTCTCGTTTTGAACCATGTTCTCCATAGTTGACACGATGTCCTCATAGAATTCAATACTGAGCAAGTGAGCGAATTTGCTGAGTCCTTCAAGAACCGGCTCCAGAAGAGCCGACGATGGCATTCGCTTGAGAACAGAGAAATAGGTTTGGAAAGCGAATTTCATCGCTTCAGTGGCATGTTTCATCTTCTTTGTCAACGATTCCTCTGCCTCCACTTCCAAAAGGTCGGCTTCAAGTCTTGCCAATTGCTTTTTGTACTTTTTCGCAGTTTTACTGGCTCTCTCCTTTTTGATCTGATACTTCTTAGCAATCAACGCATCCTTTCCAGACTTTTTATCTTCGTTTGCAACTTCAGTGATATTCATACTGAGAAGAGTCTTCAACAACTCTGGCGACACCCTTCCCTTTCGTTTCGTTACCAGTGTTGAAATGGATCGAGAAGTGAAGAGAGTGATTTTGAGATGGAGACCTCTTTGAAAACTGTCCGAATAGCATCGCACACTTCTTTAACAACGGTTTCATTTTTGGCAAGGGAGAGACGAACGAGACTAGAGATGATGTTGGTGGAGTAGTTGAAGTGTGGAGCGGAGATAACAATTCGAGCCAGAGCCTTTACTGATAGAATGCCCATCTTGAAAGTGAAAGTGTTCTCATCATTATGCCTATCCTTTCCAACCAACTCTAAAATTTATTTATTGCATATTTTTGGCTGTTCTTCAAGCGCTTACTATTCGACAACTTCTCACATAACTGCAGATACTTCAAATGATATCTGAGCAACGACTCCTCGAAATTCACCAAATTTCTTGTCTCCTTCTTTTGTTTCTGCGATTTTTCTTCCGCTGTCTGCTCACGAATCGCGTAACCCGGAACAATATCAAGCAGCACTTGAAGCGTACTAGCCATCGCCAACTTTTGTACGGGTTCTCGGACTAGTGAATGCACTTTTTCTCCATTGCAGAGATTGTAGAGATCGCGGAGGCGAACAATCTGAAAAATTAAATTTTCATAACACTTCTAGCTGTATATCTAGCTTACATTAACTTGTGGATTAGCTAAAAGCATATTGGCATGAGATGCAATTGTGTCTTTGAACTCTTGTAGCAATTCTCTTCGTTTTGTGATAAGTTCAGAAGCAGAAAGATGCGAGAAATCTTCCTTGTGTGGCTCATCCTCTTCCCCTTCATCGATATCACTTTTCTCTTCTTCCTCTTGTTCTTCTACTTCTTTTTCCCTGGTCGGCCTGATAAGTGTTCCGTCTTTCAGCTTGATTGGCAACAATTCTTCATGACCTTCTTCGAGCTGTCCGGCGAATTTTCTTTTCTTTGTCTCGACGTCATCTTCATCTTCGTCTTCGTCGCTATCTGCTCCACCATTTCTTTCTGAAAATATCAACCAATTTTATTTGTTCATTATCCTGTTCTCACTTCTATCAAGCCTTCGTTTTGCGTTAGCGAACGCACTATTCTCCCAATCGATATCAGCATCCATCATATCCAACGGCAAGTCTTCCTCGTCGTCATTTTCGTAGCGAGCTTCTCTGTCGGCGATGAAATCGTCTTCAATCTGTAAAATTCATTTTTTTCTGTCTTTGTTGAAAATAGTGTTTACATTAACAGCTCTTTGCCGCAAGTCAGCAGATTTTCTGGCTTTAATATCTGACATTCCATCGCGAATTTCTCTGGACAACTTCTTCTTTTTCGCCAAACGATTCAAGTTCTTCGTCGTTTTTCTCGTTTTATTCGTCTTCATCATTTTTAGCTTCTCTTCGCGAGAAGCGGAAGCGAACCCCATGTTTTCTGAAATTTATACAATTAGGAAACTTGTTTTCTATAGCTTTTAGAAGACGAAAAACATGAAATTTCCTTTTTTCAGTAATTAAACACTTCTTTTTGCACAAAGAATAAAATAGTCTAGTAAATAAATCGGCTAAAAACTCTGCCGCAGGCTGCAAAAAGGGGCGGTTTCGCAACGCGCGCACACTTTTCTAATGAAATCGTCGCGAGACCTGGCGCCGACCGTACTTCAAAATGGGCGGAGTCTCGGAGTGCCTTGAGAAGTGTATTTTGAGTTTTCAGTTGATGCAATAGCCCGTGATAAAAGTTTCGAGAATTTTCTCCAACATTCTTCTGTGTAAAATCATAAAACAGAGGTTCTAAGCTATTTTTCTCGACTTTTTGCATCATTTTCGGTCCGAAATGCTCTCACAATTCCCCATTTTCTGTCAATGATGCAATCCGTTTCAACTTTTCCAGTTTATCTTGCTCAACCGTTTTAATTTGTTTTTCTTTCAGGCATTATGCTTTCTGCACGATCATTCTTGTCTTCCGCACGCACAATCGCTCGTTCGAGCTTTATGAACACCAGAACATTGTCTGATAAGCCAAAAGGTCATGTTATCGGAATCGATCTTGGAACCACAAACTCTTGCGTCAGTATCATGGAAGGAAAAACTCCAAAGGTTATTGAGAACGCCGAAGGAGTCAGAACCACCCCATCCACTGTCGCTTTCACCGCCGACGGCGAACGTCTTGTCGGTGCTCCAGCCAAGAGACAGGCTGTTACAAACTCCGCCAACACTCTTTTCGCCACAAAGAGATTGATCGGAAGAAGATTCGAAGACCCAGAGGTTCAGAAAGATCTGTAAGTTGATTTCATTCCGCGCCATTCAAAAATTGTGATATTTCAGTAAAGTTGTCCCATACAAGATCGTGAAAGCCAGTAATGGAGACGCCTGGGTTGAAGCTCAAGGAAAAGTGTATTCCCCATCTCAAGTAAGTCATTTTTTGTGGTAATGATGCAATGTGAAGCATTTTCGTTCTAGGTTGGAGCTTTCGTGCTTATGAAGATGAAGGAAACCGCTGAAAGCTATTTGGGTACCACCGTCAACAACGCCGTTGTTACTGTTCCAGCCTACTTTAACGATTCTCAACGTCAAGCCACCAAGGACGCCGGACAAATTTCTGGACTCAACGTTCTTCGTGTGATCAACGAGCCAACTGCCGCTGCTCTTGCTTACGGATTAGACAAAGACGCCGGAGACAAGATGTAAGCATGAAGTTTTTTATTTAGTATCGAAGCAAACTGTTTTTCAGCATCGCTGTGTACGATCTTGGAGGTGGAACCTTCGATGTGTCTATTCTTGAGATCCAGAAGGGAGTTTTCGAGGTCAAGTCCACCAACGGAGACACTTTCCTCGGAGGAGAAGATTTTGATCATGCTCTCGTTCACCACCTTGTTGGAGAGTTCAAGAAGGAGCAAGGAGTTGACCTCACCAAGGATCCACAGGCTATGCAAAGACTTCGTGAAGCCGCCGAGAAGGCCAAGTGCGAGCTTTCCTCCACCACCCAAACCGACATTAACCTTCCATACATCACCATGGATCAATCTGGACCAAAACATCTTAACTTGAAGCTAACCAGAGCCAAGTTCGAGCAAATCGTTGGAGATCTCATCAAGAGAACCATCGAGCCATGCCGCAAGGCACTCCACGATGCTGAGGTCAAGTCTTCTCAAATTGCCGACGTTATTCTTGTCGGAGGAATGAGCAGAATGCCAAAGGTCCAAACTACCGTTCAAGAGATCTTCGGAAAGGTTCCATCTAAGGCCGTCAACCCAGACGAGGCTGTTGCTATGGGAGCTGCTATCCAAGGAGCTGTTTTGGCTGGAGATGTCACCGACGTTCTCCTTCTTGACGTTACTCCACTTTCTCTTGGTATTGAGACCCTCGGAGGAATCATGACCAAGCTGATCACTAGAAACACCACCATCCCAACCAAGAAGTCGCAAGTCTTCTCTACTGCTGCCGATGGACAAACTCAAGTGCAGATCAAGGTCTACCAAGGAGAACGCGAGATGGCTTCCAGCAACAAGATGCTCGGACAATTCTCTCTTGTCGGAATCCCACCAGCACCACGCGGAGTCCCACAAGTCGAGGTTACCTTCGATATTGACGCCAACGGAATCGTCAACGTTTCTGCCAGAGATCGTGGAACCGGAAAGGAACAACAAAGTGAGTTTTGGAGCTGAAAATCATTTTCTAATTTGTTTTTTTTTTCAGTTGTTATCCAATCTTCTGGAGGACTTTCGAAGGACCAGATTGAGAACATGATCAAGGAGGCTGAGAAGAACGCCGCTGAAGATGCCAAGAGAAAGGAACTTGTTGAAGTTATCAACCAAGCCGAAGGAATCATCCACGACACCGAACAGAAGATGACCGAGTTTGCTGACCAACTTCCAAAGGACGAATGCGAGGCTCTCCGAACCAAGATCGCTGACACCAAGAAGGTTCTTGACAACAAGGACAATGAAACACCAGAAGCCATCAAGGAGGCTTGCAACACCCTTCAACAACAATCTCTCAAGCTGTTCGAAGCCGCTTACAAGAACATGGCCGCTAAGAACTCCGGAGGAGCTGACGCTCAAGAGGCCAAGACCGCTGAGGAGCCAAAGAAAGAGCAGAACTAAGAAGTTACTTCAGATCTTTATAACCTCAATTCACGAGTCTTTTTTGTCTTTAAGCTTTTCTTGTATTTCTTAAAAATTTAGTTATCACATTTTTTTGTTTTTGTTTTCTTTTCCCCTGATTCCCATAATAAGTATAGGTTAGTTTTAGATTTTTACCAGTTCTCCCATTAGTCTGTTATGTTCTGCTCTTTGTGCCGAATTGGCGATGGTTTTATTGCGAGAATAGGGTCGTGAAGTTTGAAATTTGATAGTATCTATCGTTTCATCAAATTTGTAAATATTTGAGAACTAAACCACACAATTTGGAGCCCCCCGAACCAAGATAGAACCCTCGCCCGTCCTCACATGATTTGTTAAAAATCACGGTTCTTTCCTCTTTCACATTGTTGAATTTTTTTCGTCCCCCATCCCGATTGGTCTCCATATATATATTCATGCATGTTTTTTTTGTTTTGCATGGAAATTTTCTTTCATTCTCAATAAACTAATTTCAAAATTTAATAAGAATTATTTTTCTTCCTTCTGTTCGGATCTGTTTCATACTCTGCTTCATTTCTTTGCTTTTTCTGCCGATGTCCTTTTTTTCGAATTTTTACGTTGACCTATTAGAAAAAACTTGTTTGATATCTGCTGATGATGTAGCGCTTCGTATGTTTCGAAATATATTTTTTGCTATATTTTCCGGGCCCGCCTTTTTATCATTTTATCATCGACGTCAATGTTTGGTGCGAGGCACGCGAGCTACTTCTCCTTCGCCCGTTATTATTCGCCTCTTTTTCACTTTTTATGCTCTCTGAAGCTGTTCCTGAAGTGCCAAGGAGCCTATTCAAACTGAAGAACGAAATTCGGTTTTTTTCTCTCTTCAAAAAATGTGTTATTTGATTTTCTCGAAAACGTTCTGGTTGTTTGAACTTATCGAAAACTATTTCAATGAAATCGGGTGGTTTTACAATGAAAAAAAGAAAGATGGAAAGTAGAGAAATTAGATTCCAATCGAAAAGTTTTGTTTCTTCTTCAAGAGAGAGAGAGAGAGAGCTCTGGCGATATTACACACTTTTCTCTCTCTCTCTCTCTCTCTCTCTCTCTCTCTCTCTCTTTCTCTCTTTCTCTTTCTCAAACACAACTGCTGGAGAGAGAGGATAGATCTTTTTTGTAAAAACTTTCCTTGTTTTTTTCTTATTATGTTCTTCTTGCTTCCTCTTTCTCATCTCCCTCCTCCCATCTAGTCTTCGGCGGTCCATTTCATTTCTTAGAACTCTTTTTCAAATATTCCATGGGTTCCTTCACTTCCAAATCAAACGAGCTAGAATCGTTTTTGAACAATGGACGTGGCAATGTATGTTTACTGTGTGTATGGGAATAGGCGGTGCACTAAAGATCAGTAGAACTCTATTGTGTTTGTTCAAAGCACGTTCGCACAGAATATAGTTTTCATTTTTAGCTAGGTCTTAGCCTATATTTCTGCTCCACTATCAGCTTTTTCAAAAACAAAACATCAACATTTTCGTTATCAGCACTTTTACAAACAAAATCCAGCTCCCCTCCAAAAATTAGTTCTTTCAGATGACGTCTGCTGCTAGGAAAGTGTCCGTCTTACTGGGTGCTCAATGGGGAGATGAAGGCAAAGGAAAGATCATTGACTTCCTGATCGAGAACCACAAGATCAACGTCACCGCCAGATGCCAGGGAGGAAACAACGCCGGACACACCGTTGTCGCCAACGGACGCAAGTACGATTTCCATATCCTGCCAAGTGGAATTATTAGCCCAACATGCTTCAACGTCATTGGAAACGGTGTCGTCGTTAATCTGGACGCCTTCTTCTCTGAGTTGGCTCACAATGGTGTTCTCTCGGAGCCGGGATGGGAGAAGAGAATCATGATCTCTAGTGAGGCCCACTTGGTCTTCGGAGTTCACTCTCAAGTCGACGGACGTCAAGAGGACTCGCTGGCCGCCAAGAACAAGATTGGAACCACCAACCGTGGAATCGGACCAACCTATAGCTCGAAGTGCTTCAGAAACGGAATTCGTGTTGCTGACTTGATGGCCGATTTCGAGGAGTTCTCCGAGAAGTACCGTCGTTTGGTGGAGCATTATAAGAAGCAGTTCCCATCGATTGAAGTTGATGTTGATGGAGAGCTTGCGAGATTCAAGGAACATCGTGAGAAGCTCGCTGAGCTCAAGCTCGTCGGAGACACCGTTGGATTCATCCATGAGCAACGCACCAATGGAAAGCAAGTGCTTATCGAGGGAGCCAACGGAGCTCTTCTTGACATTGACTTTGGTACCTATCCATACGTCACCTCTTCCAACTCAACTGTCGGAGGAGCTTGCACAGGACTTGGAGTTCCACCAACCGCCATTGGAAGCGTCATTGGTGTTGTGAAGGCTTACCAAACTCGTGTTGGAACGGGACCATTCCCAACTGAGCTCTTCGATGCTGATGGAGAGAAACTGCAATCGATCGGAAAAGAAGTCGGTGTGACGACGGGAAGAAAGCGCCGTTGTGGATGGATCGATCTGTTCTTGCTTCGTCGTTCGGCCATGATCAACGGCTACACGGATATTGCTCTGACGAAACTCGACATTCTCGACACTTTCCCGGTGAGTTTTTTCTCTATCTGTTCCCTTTGACTTTTCATCGCAAGGGGTGTAAAGTGAGTGATGTCAGTTAGAAGAGATAGAAGATAACGAAACAAAACGCACGTGACGACGATGATACCATACAAAAAATCGAAATTTCAGACCATCAAAGTCGCCGTCGGCTACAAGCTCAACGGACAGACGCTCACCGCGCCACCAGCTCAGACGAATGCGTGGGGAGCCGTTGAGGTCGAGTACAAGGAGTTCGAGGGTTGGATGGAGCCAACTGTCGGCGTGAGGAAGTACGAGGATCTTCCCGAGAAGTGCCGGCAGTACATTCAGTTCATCGAGGAGTTCATCAAGGTGAGAGGGGGAGGTTTATACGGAAAAAAGTGAGGAACTAAATCTAAATGTGGTGAAAACAGCTGTTGTCATGTAATTGCTATGGCTTCCTGCCTACCAACCAACCCACCACAAACCGCCAGAAAACAACAATCAATCAATATATCGTCGTTGCAGGTGCCAATCGTGTACATTGGCGTTGGAGCGGAGCGCGAATCTCTCATCGTCCGGCAAAAGCAGTAACCTACGACGACGAAGCTGAATCTCATTATTTCTCTTTTTCCTTTTCTTCAAATATTCCAAAAAATATATAATTTTTCGTGCCTTCTTGCACCCCCTCAGGGACTATTTTCCTTCTCTTAAAATTCATCAGAACTTTGTTCTGATTTTTTTTTACATAATAATCCCAACACAGTATTCTTCTTCGTTTTTACTTGTTTTCTCTCTAGATAGCATAATCTCCCTGTTAGCTGTCGGTGTAACCGTCTACCGGTTTCGAAAAGTCGTCTCTCTCTTCTGTTTTTCTCTCGTTGTTATTATCTTTCTTTTTTTTTTTTCTTTTGCCCCCCCTATGAATTTGAAAATGTTGAATCTCCGACTTGGCGGCTTTCGCATATGGCTCTTTGAAAACCATACTGATTTTTTAGGCGATTCTTCTTGACAAAAAATCGAAAAAGGTTTCAAGAATGAGCGAAGGTGAGAAACTCGAATCAGAACGGCGAGAGGAGGGTGAAGAGGAGGACAAGGAGAATCTAGACGATTCGCGAGCCAACAGCTCGCTGACCAACTCGACGTTTCTAGCATCGGGAAGAATACAAAACGAAAAAGCAGAAGTCACTTCAGAAGGCGTTCTGGACTTGACGAATCTCTCGCTGACGAACTTGGAGCGAAACTTCCACGTGGAATATGCGAAAGTGAAGAATCTGGCGATCAGCGGGAATAATTTACAGAAGTTCACCTATATGAAGTTGTTCCCGAAGTGTGAAATTGTAAGGAAGGACATCTGGACAAGCAGAGATAAAAATTAAATTTTTGCAGCTCGACGCCCAAGATTGTCAAATCAACAAGTTTATCGCTGATTTTAACTATAATTTGTAAAATTTCTATAAAATTTGAAGCCTTAAGATTTTGTATTTACAGACTAGAACTATATTTGTCACGAAATCAACTAAAAGAAACGAATCAATTAGGAAGGTTCGAGAATTTGAAAATTCTCGATTTATCATCGAATTTAATCGAGGATCCAGTGGTTTTTACGCTGAAAACGCTGGAAATTCTGAATCTAAGCTCCAATTATTTGACTGAAATCCCGGATTTGAGTAAATGCGTATCGTTGAGGTCGCTGAATTTGGCGGAGAATAAAATTGCGGATCTTACGGTAACAGGGAAGCTAATTGGATTTGAAATCAATAGATTTTTCCAGAAAATCTCAAATTTAATCAGCCCGACAAGCCTTCAAAAACTGGATATCTCCTCGAATTCTATCGACGATCTTTCTCAGTTTTCAACGTTTTCGCAATTCAAAAAATTAGATGACGTGGCAGTTGGTAAGCTTCAGATCCTCTCGGTATCGAAATTTTTCGAATATTCCAGCTGAAAATCCTTGCATCGTTGAAGTCGTCGAATCCGACAAATTCGAATATCGGTCCTATATCGTTGCCTGCTGCTCGGAGGCTTTGACATCTATTGACCATGAAAAAATCCAAGATCACATTCAAACAGAAGGCGAGTGGCTTACGCTTCAAGGCGGAATCAAGAAGATCGGTCCGGGTAGCCACGTGGCACTGTGCGAACAAATCGCATCGCACTTCCCGAAAGCCGAGAATGGACCTCCGACGCCGGCGCAGAAGTCGTGTCACAAAGCACTGGAGAAGAGGAGGTCGATGGCTGTGGAACCTTCTGGGGATTCATCGGTTCGAAGCGAGGACACTGTGAACTCGGTCTACTCACCGTTCCGCGAGTGGAATGGGAAGATCGGGAAGAATTTGAATTTGAGGAGGACGCCTGGAAGTGTGGGGAAGAATAATTTGCGGATGTGCTCACCGCCAGAAGCCAGGAAGAATCGATCGTTTACATTTCAAAGTGAGCTTTGTTTGAAAAATTCTCGAGATTCCGTACAGTACCTGTCAATAAAATACCGTAAAACCTGAATTAGAAGGACCCCTTTAATAGAAGGGCCCTCCGGAGGTATTTTGAAACAATGAAGGGCCTTTCCCAATTGGAAACTTGTCAGTCGAGCTTCAGACTCTTGAAAATGGTCGAAATGGCCGAAAATCAACTTAAAAACATAGTTGCAAACGGGCCGGCCCGGGCAGATGGCGGGACGGCATATAACTCGGCTTCAGAACAGGATATTTTGACGGATTTGATATCAAATGATAGATCTCGACGGGGTCCATTTTAGCTGTACCACACGGGCCGGCTTCGGGTCCATTAACATGCCGCGGGCCGGGCTAGAATGGCGAAAACCCCGATTTTGGGCAAATTTGCGATTCCCGAGGCCGGCCCGTGTGGTATTACTAAGATGGACCTCGTCAAAATCTATCATTTGATATCAAATCCGTCAACATATCTTGTTCTGAAGCCGAGTTATCTGTCGGCCCGTTTGCAACTATGCTTAAAGACCCCCCAAAAACTCATTTTTTGCAGATTCTGCCAACCAACTGGAGTCCTTCATCGCCACGCCTTCACCTACCCAACGTCTTCAAGAATCCACACGAACCACTTCAACAGAAACCGTCATCTGTTCGGCTAGAACGGAGCTCAGTTTCACTGTGGACGGCCGAAGCGAATCCACACCTCTTCCGATTATTGAAACGCCAACGAAACTGCCAGAACGTCAATTGACTCCAAGTGTAGCTGAAGTGTCTTTCGCTTCTGACGAAACTGAGGAATTAAAAAATCGAGTGAGGGCTTTGGAGCAAAAAGTGACGGAGTTGAGCAAGCAAAATGAGACACTGACGGCGATCAACGATGCGCTGGTGGACATTCTGGAGACGTTCAAAACGGAGCAGGCGAATATGTGGAAAGCGATTCGGAGTCAGATTCCGACGCCACAGAATATGACGAATTCATTAGTCTGTGAAACTGAGGAAGGGCATCATGTACATCAAGTGAAATGGGACATGCCTTTAGTCAAGGGATATCGAATCTTCGTGGACGGTAGTTCGTGTGGAGAGGTTGTTGGGAAGAATCAGTCGGCGAGGATAACCGATTTGACAGCAGATGAGCCGCATTTCGTGCAGATTCAACCGATTGGAAATAACGGAGAGAGTGGGGAAATATCCAAGAAGCTTCATATCAAACCACCGCCCCAGTGATTAATTTAATTTAATTTTTTTTCGTCCTCGTTTTTATCTCCTGTATCATTGAATATCTCTAACATCGTGCAACGATACTCAAATTTGAGCTCAAATAAACTCATGTATCTCTTGGCTCGCCTCTCCCCGAGCAAGCTTATATGCGCTCCATCGCACTGGGGGCCCTGCTCTCTTTTGCTCTTTTCCTCTTTTCCCTCTCGAGGAATGCTGAGACGGCTATTTCGAACTAGTTTAAAGTTGAATGTGTGACGTGCAGAAGGAACACAAAGTGGAGACTCATTTCAAGCGATTTCTTCCTTCTTATATATATCTTTGTTTTTTTCGCTTTTTTTCTATTTTTTTCGTTTTTTACAAACATTTAGCGTTTAAGCTTATAACCTATGAGCAAGAAACATAGCTCAAAAATGTTCAATGAGAAGATTCTAGCTAATTTTAAATATCGATTTTTGTTGGGGATTTTGCAGTGCAAAGCTTTGATGATTATTATGAAACAAAGCTCATTTCGTTTGCAATTAATAGAGAGATATAGAGAAAAAACGACGAAAAATGAGAGCTTTGCATTGTTTGTCTTTGTTCAATGGGTTTTTCTTCTGGCTAGTTGGCACCTTTTAGAAGAATATGTTACAAGATTTTGAAGCTTAAGTTCCGAGTTATCAGCAAAGCGCGTTTGCTGAATTTTGAAATTCAAACTCAATATTTCGCTTCAACATTCGCATTATTTCCTTCAGCTGGAAGGCATCAATGAAACAAAATCTGCAAGAGAGTTTCTTCCCCTTTTTCTTTTTTTGGAATTATCATCATTTCAAATGCGGCAGGTGCAATTGCTAGTCAGACGGAAAATGAGGTTATGCTTCTGATTTTCGTGAGATTCGTATAGTTGGAAAGTCACACAGGCTACGAAAAATAGAATCTTTGGAATTCTGACGAGCTAGAAGTTTTGTCAGCATAACTTTTTATTATTCTGATACTAAAAAATCGGAGCTGGGGAAAAGAAACGCCGGCGGTCAGTGGTCGAAGGTCCCACAACGACAACTACAGTAGCCTAAAAATATTTTTTTTCCGGATTTTTTTCTCGCTTTTCGTGCGTTTTCCGCCAATTTTTTTCCTACCAAAAAAACGTCGACTTGTTTGGGGAAATTTGAGTTTGAACATCTAAATATGGGATTTTTGAGAATTTCATTTATCTTCTTATAAGAAAACTAACTTTGGGGAAGCGAAATTTTTAATTTTCATGACAAGAATTGACAGCTTTTTACCGAATCTGGATTCTGAAAAGATACCTTGAAACCTGTGGCCCTCTAACTTTGACTGATTTTATCTAGGTTCCTGTGAAAGATATCAAAAATCAGTCAACTGATAAATTGTTTATCATACTATTAGAAATATTTTATCAGTTGACCACATTTTGATATCATTTATAGGACCCGAGATAATTGAGCTTAAAGTTAACGGTTGAGTTTGCAAGCGGGTAGCTGTATTCTCTACTTTAAGCTTAATTATCTCAATTTCTGTAAGAGATATTAGAAAATGGTAACCTAACAAAATGTTTATTATAACATCAGCAACATTATATCAGTTTACAGATTTTTGATATCTCTCATAGGAACCGAGATAATTGATCTCAAAGCGCACGTATGGGGCTGCTTCTACTAGAGCATCAAATTTAAAAAGCTTTCAAAATTCTCAAACGTCCAGTTCTATGTTTTTTGATCAATTTCTCTCTCTTTTTCTCCCTTGAGTTTTACCTCCTGGTTTCTTCCTCTTTCACTTTGTTTATTTTCTTTAGGTTATCCCATAGGTTCTCTTTTTCCCCTTCCAAATATTTGCAATTCGAATTAAAACAACCGATTAAATCGAGATTTTCGATAATTTTTTTTCTTGCAATCGTCATTTTTCGAATTCTCTGACCCTCTCGTTGTTTCCATAATCTTCCCGCAATGAACACCATGTAATTGTTGACTCATTTTTAAATCGGAATTCAATTGACTCTGGTAATCGGTTTCTAACCAGTTTCGGGAAATTTTCCAACCAGATCCGGTAACGCGTTTGCCAACCAGATTCGTGTAAAATTCCAACCAGATTCGGAAACTTTTAATTTTCCGACCAGATGGTCTAATGTGTTCTAATCATACTTGCTAAATCTCGGCCCTGCCCGGCCCGCCGGCCCGGGTTCCGAAAACTTCAAATTTTTCTGTTAATTTTTGATACATTTTTGCCAAAATAACAATATTAAAGCACGAAATTTATCTCATGACCCTTCTAAAACCTGAAAACAAAGAAATTTTGATAAAATGTTCCCAAAAATCCAATTTCTCTCAAAAAATGACTTTTAAAAATTTTTGCCTCAAGAACCCGGGCCAGCCGGGCCGGGCCGGGCCAGTGAAAATTCCTCCACCGGCCCGGCCCGGCCCGCGACATGTATGGTTCTAATAGATACCCTATTATCTCGATTCCTAAGAAAGATATTTAAAATTTGTCAACTGATAAGATGTTTATCATAATATCCCCAATATTTTATCAATTGACAGATTTTTGATATCTCTCAAAAGAGCCGAGATAGTTGAGCTCAAACTTGACAGGCCCTTCCATTACTGGCTCCACGGTATTTCTACTTTGAGCCAATTTATCTTGATTCCTGTAAAAGATATCAAAAACTTGACAACTGATAAAATGCTTATCATAATATCACAAATGTTTTATCAGTTGACTTATTTTTGATATCTCTCACTGGCGTCGAGATAATTGGAATACGGTAGTCAATTTCCAGGAACTTGGTTACCTTGTTTCTGTTATTCGGATTCATGGGAACCCAATTAAAAGTTGCATTAACTTTTTTATATTTTTTCTTACCATGTGTTACTTTTTGAAACCTCTACTGTGATGTCATTGCGGGAAGATAGTCATGATGACAAAACAAAAAGTGCAAAACCGCCCGGGTGCACTCACACCTCAAAAGTTGTGATCAATACTGCTGATTCAGCAGTCGAGGGAAATTTTTGAAGATTTAGATACTGTATCTATGAGGTCAGCAAGCAAAAAAATTGTTTTCAAATCAGTTTACCCCTTGTCACTTACTTCCGTTTACTCTAGATCATATGGCTCTGACCCTTCAAAGATATTTTTGAAGATGCAGACATTTTCACTAGATCATTTTTTAAAATTTATTTTTGGGCCCTTACTGAAATTTCAAAAAATGCTCAAATTTTCTGATAAAACTGTCTGATCAGCAAGTTTCTACTACGATTTTGAAGTGAGAGACGCAGAGAAACGAGACACACTGCGTCTCTAGCCCTAAAACATTCAAATGCTCAGAACTCGGCTCAGAATCGTCGTATATACTTGGTTTTAATCTCATTTTCTTGGAAATTTTGTCTAGTTTTTAATGAAATATGAAAATCGATTGTTTTGAAAGTTTTTGTTCGGGTAGAAAAAAAGAAAAGGGCATATTTTGGTTAGAAAAGGGGTGTTGTGACATTTTTCTGATTCAAAACAATTCTTTGAAGATAACAATACACTGTCCAAACTATCACAAGTCCTTGACGGTTTGTTTTCATTTTTCTCCTGTTTTACGACTAACAGAGATAGGTTTTCATAGTTTTTTTTTGAGAAGAAGATTCTAGAATTCTTTTTCTTACCAGCATGAAATTCCGTTTTGTTTAATCTTGAAAAAAAAAACAATGGTAAAATTTGAAACACTTTTTCTCGGTTCCTGTCAGAGATATCAAAAAATGATAAACTGATAAATTATTTATCATAATATCAACAAGATTTTGCCAGTTGCCCATTTTTTGATATCTTTCAAATTCTGACTAACATTTGAGGCAATTTTTCTCGGTTCCTGTAAAAGATATCAAAAAGTTGTCCACTGATAAATCATTCATCATAATGTCAGCAACATTTTGTCAGTTGAATATTTTTTGATATCTTTCCCAGGAAGCTAGAAAAACTGGGTCAAAGCTAGCAATGTAATTGGCGTCCCAGTTACACAAAAGCCTTTAATCATGACAGTCAAATTTGAGCAAGTTTATCTCGATTCAAGGAAAAGATATCAAAAATTTGCCGACTAATAAATCATTCATCATAGTATCAGCAACACTTTATCAGTTGACAAATTCTTGATATCTTTCACAGAAACCGAGATAATTAAGCTCAAAGTTGACCAAATTTCTAACCAAAAATCGAAGAACAAATGTTTCTGCCAAAGATCTTGTATCAAGATCTGAGCATGCTATATCAATGTAACCTTCAGTCATTCGTTATTTCCATCATCCAAAACCATCAATCTCATTTTACTTTTCGTCTCCCCCCAATATCGTTTTTCTTTACCTATCTGATCATGCAAACACAACATTTCACATGAGACACCGTCGACTTTTCACACCTTCTCTATTTCTCTAATTCTCCTGATCTTTTTTCTCCCATTTTCTTCGTCTCACTTTTCTTTTCATACTTTTTAGGCCAACCACACACACACACTTATTTATTCATATTTTGTCGATTATCCGATTAGAAGAATTTTCGAGAAATTTTCGTATTTGATTCTGTTTTTTTGTTGGGAAGTTGAAATTTTTAGAACAAAAGAAAGGTTATAGTTTTGATAGTTTGTAATTTTTCTACCATTTTTCAGACCATTTTTTTCAAATTTCGCGTCCCCTTAAACCTGTAATAGAGGGGCCCGTAACTTTTAACTTTGACCCAATTTATCTAGGTTCCTGACAAAGATACAAAAAAGTTATCAACTGATAAATGGTTTATCATAATATCACAAACATTTTATCAGTTGATACATTTTTGATATCTTGCACAGGAACCGAGATATACTAGCTTAAACTTGACAGTGCCCTTCTATTAAAGGTTCCTTCCTTCAGCTTCTTTTTTATTACATTCATCTCAATTTTTTCCCATTTTCAGAAAGTTCTATATGTCAACAGCAGAAGCCACGTTCAGTTTACTGGACGAAGAGGAGGAACGAGATGAAGTTGGACCATCCTCCACATCCGTCGCCCCGCCCCCCAAGAACCGCCCATCCCTCCGATCAATCTCCCTTTCCCAGGCTCCAAGTGCTCCACGGGACCTAGAAAATGGGAATGGACAAAACAGTTGTGCAGAGCTTCATAAGCTCACTGCTGGCTCGACTACTTCACTGACGTCCCAGTCAAAAAATGCCAAAAAGGTTAACAAATTCTACAAGAAGCAAAATGAGCTATTGGAGAACTTTAAGAATGATAGCGAGCAGATTGAGGTGATAAACTTTAATTGTGAGTTGTGTTTAAGAAAAAGAGATTTTCAGCAATTCAACAGAACTCGACGACGGACCACTAGCAAGGAGGAGGATGACATTGAAGAGATAATTGCGTCGATACCGCCAGTGATTCCAGAGGATAAGCCACTGGTGGCTCCATTGGTGAAACATATCGTAAGTTTGGTTTGTGTTATTAACCGTCTGATGTGTTTTTTCTTTAATTGATAAGAGTTCAAATTATTACAAAAGTTTTACCGTACCTAACTTTCAACTTATAGCCAGCCCACTCTAACTTTCAACTTTAAACCCATATCTCGGTTCCTATGAAAGATATCAAAAAGTGATCAACTTATAAAATGTTTATCGTAATATCTCCAACATTTTATCAGCTTTTTAATTTTTGACATCTTTCATGGCAACCGAGATATATGAGCTCAAAGTTGAAAGCCAGACGTGTCCAGTCTTCCGATCTACCGTATTTCCTCCAATACATAGAATCCCACACTAACTTTCAACTTTAAGCTCAATTATCTTGATTCTTGTAAAAGATATTAAAATGTGCTCCACTGATAAAATGTTCATCAAAATATGATCAACATTTTATCTGTTGACACTTGTTTGATATCTTTTATGGCAACCGAGATAATCGAGCTCAAAGTTAAAAGCCCTTCCTTCCCCCCAACACCTAGCCTTCCGATCTATCTGTTCCAAAAAGTCCAAATCCCGAAAAATCACTAATTTCCTGTGCACAAGCTCACCAATTTTTGAAACTTTCCAAACCAGTTTTTGAAGGATGGAACAGACGAACCGGAAGTAGTTATCTTCGACGTGCCACGCAGTCCTAGGAATCCTAGACGAGTGAGTTGGGCCCCTGGATATTTCAAAAGAAATCTTAAATGGGTCAAAATCTTCCCAGTTTTAGAAGCCAATGGAAAGGACGAACACTGAAGAAAAATCGTTCGATGAGAAGAAGGAGGACGAGTCAGGCTCGGCGGCTCGCATGGCGAAGATCACACTTTCAGTGAATTTCATGCTCATGGTGGCCAAGGTGGTGGCATCTGTCTTATCCGGCTCAATGTCCATCATTTCGTCTATGGTGGATTCCGTAGTGGATATCACCTCAGGACTTGTGATCTCACTTTCGGAACGAATGATCAAAAAGCGGGACCCGTATTTGTATCCAAGAGGAAGAACTCGTTTAGAACCACTGGCACTGATTTTGATTAGTGTTATCATGGGAATGGCATCGATTCAATTGATCATATCGTCAGTCAGAGGAATCCATGATGCAGTTCAATATGATCTTCATGGTGGGCTTTTAGAAGCTTCAAGACTTTAGAAGCGCTAAGAAAACATTATAAAATCGATATTTCCAGGAATCGGAGAAGAGCCGAAGCTCAATGTCACCATTACCTCTGTAGTCATTATGGTCTCCACTGTCCTTATCAAATTATCCCTCTACGTTACCTGCAAACGGTACAAAGAACCATCTGTTAACGTTCTTGCTATGGATCATCGCAACGATTGTATCTCCAACACAGTGGCTCTTCTTTGTGCATGGCTCGGAACTAAATACTCCTATTACTTTGACCCAGTTGGTGCTATTATAGTATCTATGTACATTCTGTACACATGGGTGCAGACTGGAAGAGAACACTTGGCAAAACTGTCTGGAAAAACTGCAGAGCCCGAGTTTATCAATAGGATAATCAAAGTTTGTTTGGACCATGACAGTCGGATTTCTCATATTGATACGGTTTATGTTTATCATTTTGGAAGCAAGTTTTTGGTTGAGGTAAGAGATCAAACATTTGGAATAAAGGGTTGCCGTAGAGGCTCTATGCATTTTGAACTCATTTATCTCGATTGCTATAAGAGATATCAAAAACTTGTCAACTAATGAAATGTTGTTGATTTTACGACAAACATTTTATTAGTAAATAACGTTTTCATATCTCTGGTAGCAATCGAGATAATTGAGCTCAACTTTCAAAGCAAGTTTGATAGTTCCAAATTTTCAGGTCCACATCGTTCTCGACGAAAATATGATTCTTCGTGAATCCCACGACATCAGTGAGACCCTACAATCCAACATTGAAAGTTTGCCGGAAGTTGAACGAGCATTTGTCCACACTGACTATGATTATGATCATCATCCTAATGACGAGCATAAAGTTGTTTAACTTTTGCCAGTAGCCTTTTTTAGTATTATCAGTAGAGCGCATTTTTTATAATTTTTTTTCTATCTTACCTGTTACCACCTTATTTCAAAAAGTCCGGTTTCATGACAGAAATCAAAAGAACTCTGAATCTCTCCCCTTCCCATACTTCATAATGCCTTATTTTTTTAATTTGCATAATTACCTTAAACCTGTAATAGAACGGCCCTTCAACTTGGTTCCTATCAAAGATATAAAGAAGTTGTCAACTGATAAATTGTTTATCATAATATCACAAACATTTTATCAGTTGTCCACTTTTTGATATCACTGATAGGCGCTGTGTTATAGCCCTTCTATTACAGGTATACTTGATTTTTTTAAATAGATATTCACATATCTTCTTCATAAAAATGTTCAATATTTGTTTAATTTTTTATTAGTTAATAAAATTAAATAATAAATAAACAAATACATTAAAAAATCATCGTAGAATTTGAAACTTTTTGGTGGTGTCTTGGTGGTGGAACTTTTCGAATGGGATAAGAAAAATAATAATTTAGGAAGAAAGAGAACAAAGAAACAGGAGAGAGAGAGAGAGAAGTTCTGAAAGGAGAAATGGGGCAATTTTTCGCATGAAAATAAGTAGAAACATAATCATCAGTTTTTACTTTCCGCTGCTCAAATAGCACAGATTTCCAGCTCCGCAGGTGTATCCAGTTGGGCACACTCCGTTGACGCACGATCCGAGGACTCCTCCGGATCCGAGTGGGCAGCAGTAGTTGTTGGTGTTGCACATGAATCCAGTTGGGCAGACTTGGTTCACGCATGGTCCAGTGCTGTTTCCGGATTGACATCTGCAGCAGTAGTTGTTGGACGAGCAGAAGAATCCTTGTCCGCAAAGGCCTCCGAGACAAGCGGCGACGGCTGGTCCTCCAGAGCAGGCGGCTGAAAAAGTAGGGGTTGGGTTTGATGGGTCTAGTGATAAGTTGATTGCTCATTCTCCCCAGCTACTCGGTAAGGATATTCTGACTCCCTCCGAACCTCCCCACTCTTTTCCAAGTTTCTATATTTGGAAGTTCGCTTCCCTCTCTTTCTGATATGAGCGCCCTCGTTGCGCTAAAGATAGAAAGATAGTGGGTTCGTGCCCGAACTTCTTCGCGACTTCGTGAGACACAGAGTCTCGGCTAGCCGATTTCTCACGAGCAAACATAAAAGTTCTCTCCATCTGCGTAGCTTCGCAAATATTTTGGTATTTATGTTGACCCGTAAAGGGAGTCGAAACGGACAGATTCGGGAGGGGGGCGAGTTTGTAGCAATCATTAGGTAATCAGTGTGTGTGTTTGCCTCCCGGGGAAACGGTACCGGAAATAAATTGAAAATGAACGGAGGTGAGGCGGTTGGATTTTTGAGCTCTAGCGAACGCTTTTGAGCTCTAAAAAAGGATAGTATTTTTCTTTGAAATCAATGAAAAACTGCGCATTTTCAAAAACATAGCAAACATACTAAAGCCGATCAAACTGAAACAAGTTTATGACAAAGTTCCCGACCAATTAGTATTTCAAATTTCAATTTCTGCACAAAATCTGACCATGGCCCGCTATACATCCGTTTTTGGGCAACTTCCGACCAGAACCTGGTAAAAAGATCAGTTCGATTTTCCCAAAATAGATCAAACATTTGGATAGCTATGATAGGCAAGTATCAGTTAAAATGAGCAATTATTAAGGCTACTGTAGCAGGGAAAATCCTATAATCAAATGTCTTATGGTTTTTTTTTTGAGTCAATCGTCCTCAAATGCAAAAACTCACTATCAAGATTGTTGTTTCCTGGGCAACAGCATCCTTGAACGCAGACAGCTGAGACGGAATATCTCTGGCATTGGGAGGAAGAACTGCAAGACGAGTAGCAGTTGGCTGGGCATCCGAACTGCCTCTTCTGACGGAACACTGTTGAGTTGGCGTCACGAAGCTCTGGGGCTGAAACACACAATTTAAAGAAAAAAGGTCTCAAAGTGACAAGTTACCTTGTTGTGCGTCCTCTGCGTTAAGAACCCAGAAGCAGGCGAGAGGGAGGATGATGCAGAAGGAGATGGCGAGTTGCTTCATAGTGAATGTGTATTAGGTGAAGACAAGTAGAAACACCTGACCCTGCTGAAAGATATGAGGTACTGTAGATACAAGTAAGAAGAGGATGATAAGACAAGAAGAAGAAGAAGCTAACTAAGCTTAGAGAATGATGAGGGAGCCCAACACCACAAAGGCTAAATGGTCATTTGTACGTAACAGTGGGGAGGAGGGACACTAACTGACCGTCTTTTACCTCCCCTTCTCTCAGTCTGTTAGCTTAGACTCTGGCGCCCTCCGCGCGGCGACGTGCTCTTTGCGCGCGGCACGAAACTCTCGCCTGCTCTCTTCTTCCTTGGGAAATCGCTTTAGGCCTGTCTTGTCTTCGCCCGCGGTTATATGTGTTTGTAAAATGAAGTGGTCGAAGTTGGATGTTCAAATACTTGAGTGCTAGGGTCACTCTTATCATCATCATCATCACCGTCGTTGTCAAAATGTCCAACTTATCCGGTCTCTTATCCGAAGCCCGACAATATTGTCGGATCACGGTTGGAAGAGCGGAGAAACATTTCTTAAACTTTGGTTATTTTGATGTTCAAGATGTTTTATGATAGAGTAGGAGGGACTGATCAAGTTGAGAAGTTTGAGAAGGCTAGACTTGCTAGCTCGAGCGCTCTAGAAGTCTGTTGAATTAAGAGGAGTATACCCTAACTTGTTAAAAAATAAGGTAAGTAAAGAGTTGGATGCTCCACTACCATAGGAAAAAACCATCGGATTACGGAAAAGACCAAAAAGATCAGTAAAGAATTATCAACCGATCTACAGTAAGCGTGTTGCCATCGGGAAGAACAATTTGAGTCAAAAGTGACGGACACCGTGCTCTTTATACGCGACCGCAACGCACTCGAGGGAGAGTGGCGTCAGAGACAAGGAGCTGCTGGGCCGGCCACGGCTGACCGCCGGTCCGGTTTTAGTGGGTTGGCGAGGAAGGGATGCAACACACACGGTAATACACGGCAGACGGGAAGCGACTCTCTCTCTCTCTCTTGAAGAGGCAACTTCTATGCACATAATACACCCCATTATGAGCATTTTTTGAAGAACTCCCGCAAGATTTTTGTATGAATAGGGTGAGGACAAAAAAAACACGTGCTGGGCATTGTGACGTTGTGCTGGTACAAATTGCATGAAGATACTGTAGTTTGTGATGTACATGCTAAATCAAAGAACTGGAACGGTTACTGTCTTCTGAAGCGGTTCTCAATTAACCATAAACTTTGAGCTCAACTATCTAAATTCCCATAAGAGATATAAAAAATTTGTCAACTGAAAATGTTTATTATAATATCACAAACGTTTCATCAGTTAACATATTTTTGATATCTCTAACAGAAATCGAGACAATTGAGTATGAAGTGCAAGCATAGGCTGGCCTTCTGTGTTTATCGCAGCTCAACTTTGAGCTCAATTATCTCGGATCCTTCAAACAATATCAAAAATCTGTCAACTGATAAAATATTGTGATATTATGATAAAAATTTTATCAGTTGACAACTTTTTATAGCTCCCACAAAAATCAAGATAATTGAGTATAAAGTGTAAGGTGTCCAACGATGTCCGTGACTGAGTTTCTGAAAAACTATAATATTAAAATTCTTTGTTTTGAGTAACTTGACCTTTAACCAATCAGCAATTTGTTCTTATCTTTACTAACAAGTGCTATAATTTATGTGAAAAACTGTAAAACCTCTAATAGAAGCACACCCGAACCCTTAACTTTAAGCTAAAATATTTCGATCATTGTGTAAGATATCAACATTTTTTTAACTGATAAGGTGTTTATCATAGTATCACCAATATTTTATCAGTTGCCAAATGTTTGATATCTTTAACACGAAACGAGATAAATTGGCTCAAAGTTAAAAAATAGGGGCAATTCTATTAAAGGTTTTACGGTAGCCATTTTTTCTTATTCACCTCTCAACAAGATTTATTTTTAGGTCCTACAGCCTTCTCTCCAAAAGTAGTACACTTCCCCATTCCGAAATCCCTGAGTGACCTCAAGTTTTTGCTACTCTCGGATTTTTCAAAATTTCAACATTCCAACGTTGTCTCGCCGAAGCTTGTACTACCAAGCTCTGTACACACAAAGTGATTTTGTCAGAGAGTGCACAAATGTTTCTCTGTGATTGTCCGTATACTTTCCCCCCGTATTCTCTAAAATTTCGGACTGTCCACTTTCTCTTAGTGATAAACTCTCATGTGTGTGTATGCTCAAGTGATCCTGCTCTGTGTCTCCACGATGGATGCTCTGCATGTCCACCCGGTTAGAGCAAATACGGATCGTCCTCTTCTTGCTCCATCTCTTCCCCCCAGGAACGAGAGCCGTGATCTGATGGTAGGTGCCATTCTTTGACCGATGCCGCCCCTGCGGAAGAATTTGGTTATGATTGAATGAGAAGAAAAATAAGAAGAGAGAGCGAGTATTTACACAATAATGAAAGGTATCCGGAATTCATTGCGGCGCGAAGGAAATGGCACGTTGCCTAATATCTATTGCATCATGTTTCGGCTCGTTGAGGGGCTGTGGCAATTGTGATAGTAGAAACATCAACGGATCACTAAGTGGATCAGACATCCGGAACGTCTAGCTTGTCTACTGATTCCGTTTATCAGAGTTCGAGAAATTTTCGGAATAATCTTGGGATCCGTTTGTGCCGTTTTCCATGGTTGGAACATACCATGGACCCTGTAATAGAAGGGGTCGGCCATCCTAAGATCCACTATGTCAAGTTTTAGCTCAACTATCTCAATTCCTATGACAGGTATTGAACATGAGTCAATTGACAAAACACTTCTAATATTATGTTAAACAATTTATCAGTTGACACCTCTTTTTTATTTTCGACAGGCTCAAAATTACAAGGGCTCTTCTATTACAGGTTGTTCGGTATTCATGACAAACGCTTTGTAGAGAATTCGCTTACAATTAAAACTTGCTTAGTAATTTTTGAAAATTTGCAAAACAAACATTTTTAGGGTTCAGGGCTTCAAAATGAGTATAAGTACGACCATGTTCCTTTAAATTTGTATTTTTGACTTTAAAGGTGCACTGAGGGGTTTGAAATTGGAAGTAGATCTTGATTACACTCATTTTGAGGCTTACAATTAAAACCAGTCGGCTTACGCCCTTCCGTGGCTTAACCTCCTGGTCTACGTGTGTGGGATTTCCTCGCCCTCTCTGCCCACCACGCTTTACTGTGGTGAAATCAAGGAACATCTCCAGAAGACTTAAATATCAACATTTCGAAAAAAGAAAAGTTTGGGCATCAACTAAGACACACTTATGACCTATCTGTCAGGTTTCAGCTCAATCGGTTAACTTTGAATGGGTTAACAGTGACGCGACATACATCTTTACATACGGAATCTGGTGATTGTTAGTAGTAAAGATGATGATGTCTCGAATTCAGAATTTTACAACTTTTCTGGTCTAGTTTTGGAGTTATAGTCCACCATATATTAAAATTGTGTAATCATCATTCAGTTGTATTTAAGATTTTTGGGTAAACGCTTGGTTTGAGTTGAGCACTGTAAACCTGTAATAGAAGAGCCCTCTATCTTTAAACTTTGATCCAATTATCTCGATACCTCTCAAATATATCAAAAAGTTGTCAACATTTTTTATATCTTGCATGAAAGCCAAGAAACACGCGCTCAAACTTGACGGTGTGGGAGCCCTTCTATTACAGGTTTTCCGATATGCTGGACCCTGACAACTTTTTCAGTTGGGCGACACCGTGTAGTCTCAAGTTTACTGAGCTGTAGACATCAGTTCCCAGAGTTCAGGTCTCATGCCGAACCTTCACTCTCACGCACTTTCCAATCCATCTCAAATTTCGAAAATAACTCCAAATATATGCACTTTATCGTTAAATCACACAGTAAAATATATGTTTTTTTTTCAGAATTTGGCGAACTTTTTTGTTTGAAGCATCGAGAAAATATAGATCAGATGGGTAGAAATAAAATATAGAGATTCTAGAGATTTAAAGAGAAAATAAGTGGTAGAAAGAAAGAAATGAATAATTGGGTGTAAGTGGAAAAATTTAGTTTTTCTTCGTTGACTGCTGGATTGTCTCGATTCCAGCAGTGGGACTTCCACGAGTGTTTGCCGGGTGACGTGTCTCGTAGGTGATCTGGTCCGCGCTGATGACTTCGTCGTTGGCGTTGGTGGTGTCGGTGGCATGATAGGCGGACTTTCCGTTTTTCTTGGCCTTTTCTGAAATGAATATTCAAGATAAAGTATATTTTCTCAATTGCACTCTCACCACGACGCTTCTTGAATCCGATGACGATGTTGCAGAGGAGAAGGAAGAGGAGTGCAAGGCTGATGGCTCCGACGCTGAAACTTTCTGATTCCACCTAAAAATGTTTTTTTTCGACTCACATAATGATATTGATCAGAACGTCATCTCCACAGCACTTCATTCCACAGCACTCCTTGGAAGTCTCACATCCGAAGACAATCTCCGAGACTTGCTCACCATCCGGGAAGTAGATCTGTGAGAATACTCCATCGTTCTGCGAAACGTTCAACACACAGATGTAGGCGTAAGCAGTGGTGTTGTCAGCGTCAGCGTAGTCAACAAAGTCTTGGCGGTTCCAGAAATAGTTGCGGTCGACGAATCTGAAATTGGAATCTGCTGACGTAGGAGGTTGGGAAATCAGCTTGTGAGATTTTCTGACATCTGACTTTCATAGAATACAGATGATGTGATGTTCGTAGTTTGAGACTGATCTATAGAATTATAGAAAAGGACACCACCGAAAAAAGTTCATATGATCTTCGACTTCAACCTATCTACTAAAAAAATAGGACACGCGCACGGACAACATTGTACAACATAGTACAACAAACAACAACAGCGCGAAGTACTTGACAACGGGTAATTCCTTGTTTCTCCTAACTTACACAAACGGTTTTTCTGGTGAAGCCAGGGTGTACGTGAGATTGGTACTGCTCAGAAGGGTGGTGATGTCATCGTTGAGAGTGATCATTGCCGAGGAATTCAGAAGATGGGTGATGAGACTCTCTTCAAATTCTGATCCAGCCAGGAAGGTTTCTCTGGAAGTTGAAAGGAAAAGTGATAGGAGAGGAAGTTTGGAATCTTACCTAGTATTCCGTTGCTCCTGGCTTCCACGAGAAACACCAGCGATCGGAGCACGCTGACATGACACTAGGGTGCTCACGAGAATTGCTCCGATCAGGAGCTTCGTGCCGATCATGAGCTGATAAAAAGGAAAACTAAGAAGAGAAAGCTTCAGAAGTTGAGAAAAAATTGTCCAAATGACAAAGTTTGAGTAAGAGAAAAAGGCGTGAGAGAGAGAGAGAGAGAGTTACACCTGCTGATCTAATTTATTCCTTCTGACTGCGTTTTTTCGAGGAATTGATTGAAAACTATAATAACTTGTTAGCGAGAGAGAAAAATGTTGCTTAAGGGGAAAGTTGAGAAAAACAGATTTTTTAAGAATGGATCTAAAATGATATCATTAGTCCTGTGAATGATAAGGGCTAAAGTATGATATTTTGAACTTTATCTCTGATTTCTTGGGAAAGTTTATCTGGGTACCTGTCTGAGATATTAGAACGTTGTCCACTAATAAAGTTTTTATCATAATATCACCAACATTTTATCAGTTGCCCCCTTCCTGATATCTTTCACTGGGACCGAGATAAATTGGCTCAAAGTCAAAAGTGAGGGGTGGCGTCCTATTAGTGTTTACGAAAATTGCGAAATTCAGAAATGACGGAATGCGACTTACTAAAATCTGAAAATTAGTATCCAATGACCACACAGAAGCTGTACATACCTTAAACTAGAAACTAATTTCCGATAGGAAAAACAAGGTGTTGCTTGAGAAGTCTGGGGGTGGATTATTAATTGAATCTAGGCCGAAACTCTTACGTCACAAGATGTATGAAAGGGAAGTGGAGGGAGTTAAAGGCTAGAACAAGGAAGTCGAAGTTCAAAAGATATGACCTAAATCATCCAGCTCAAGGAGATCAACCGTTGATTCTAAAGTGCAACAGATTGACCCAACGCTAGAGGTGCGGCGCCGCTACCAACTAAGCTACGGTGGCGCAGGCTGAGGCGATTGGGTTCATAAATTAAAACCTAAACGCTCTGTGGGAACACTAACTACTGTACACCGCCATGTCAGAATGCATACGGTAGCTCTAAGAAACTCCCTAAAATCTCAAGTCTACACGTCCTTAACGCCTGAAAAATACTAGGAAAAATCGCCAAAAAAGGAATCAACGGAGTTATCAAAAAATCAGCTGATCTTTTGAAGTTTTGGCTACAGTAGGAAACATACACCTGCGACGAATCACGGCTGTAGGGTTTTCAAATTAAGCACGCTGACATTGTCCTAATCTTCTTACCAGAGCTAGTCCGCCGAGACTATAACGGCTGTCAATAACTCCTAACTAATAAGTGAGAGTGAGCCAAAAAGTAAGTATATGAGAAGTGTGCCTTCTTCTCGCTTCACTGCTTCCCACAGCTTGCCGGTTGCTCGTAGCAACCGTCACTCACATTCTCACCTCCCCCCTCTACCACACTTATCAAGTTTTTTTTCTCGAGCCATTTCAGCTATTCTGTTTTTCATCTGAAAATGGAAGGGGACATTATAATGAGATGTTATCGGGTACATAAATCACATGCCGCTGATTGCCGGTTCTGGTTTGCCCAATGAATCAGAAAAGAACACCGTAAGACCGAAAAAAAATTGGAGGAAATCGAAATATTTGAGATGGGACGCAATTGGGTCCAAGGCAACGCTCCAAAAACGCTCCCCAAATAACATTTAGGCCAGAAAAATTTAATAATTTCAAAGTTGACGTGGATTTGACCTAATTAATTTCAACCAACGAGTTGCAACGCGTGATTTTTTTCGCCCAACGTTTAAAAGTTTGATTCTGCCACATAATTCAGACGCGAGTTTTTTTAAATCTCACGTTTACTGGGGCGCGATTTCTGACCCATTGCCTTGAACCCAAGTGGGGACGTGTAGATTTTCATATGATCACCTGGGTTCCAGGTATGGGTATTTTAAGAGATGGCTATGAGAAATTGTGACTTTGTCCGCTTCGATGAATCAGTCTTCTGACTTGGGAAGTACAAGCTGGAATTTTGGACTCGAGGAGGGAGGCAGAAATTCTGATTTTCATAAGAAAATCAGTAGTTTGATCCAATGATCGTGTAAACTTTTAGGCTTTCTGATTCTGGTAGAATGTCATGCTTTTTTGAACTTGCGATTGATCGATTTTTCAATCAATGTGCAAAAAATAATAGAAGGGGTGTTCTTCAGAATTCAGCAAATTGCTGAAAAACTAAGAATTTAAAAAAAAATTCTGTGAATGCAAAGTTTCCAATCTAGGTCTGTTTCACACTATCCAAAGTTTTCAAAGTGAACGAAAACTTTACGGCTTAGCTCATGAAAATGGTCACAATCAACTGAAAACATCTTATTGACTGGTACTGTACATGCTTTCTTGAATTATAATAACTTCTATTGTTTGCTGTCCCATCATCTTCATTAGAAAAACAAACCGAATACTGTCTGACTTACAAAATAAATGATCTAGAAAAAAATCTACTGTAATTGCTCAATGATCTCGGTTCCTTCAAAAGATATCAAAAATGTGTCAACTGATAAAATGTTGGTGATATTATTTTGAAAACTTTATCAGTTGATCGCTTCTTGCTATCTTTCAAAAGAACCGAGATGATTGAGCTCGAAGTGCGCGTATACGGTATCTAAACCACATTATCAACATAAAACGGGGTGAATGGGATTGGCGTGAGCAGATTTGCAGTTTCAGTTGAGCCATTATCCTGAGAAGTTCTTCCAGTCGACCTGGCCGAAGATACCGTTGATGTTTTTCGTTTTTCTGGAAAGCATAAGGAAACGCAGAAACGGAGGAACCAGATGAAGAAGAGAGCGTTGATGGCCCTGAAAATCTTTTTTATAAGAATATCGAGGTCCAAAAGAAATATGTATCACGTAGTCCGATAACAAGAGTTACCGTTAAACCTCTATAGCGTGGGGTAGCTAGTGGGCGTTTGAATTAAGGGGGTACTTCAAACATAGCGGAAATTCAACTTCAGGAGGGCCTTCTGACACAGGTTTCACGGTAGGCGAAACATTAGAGGTAGTACCGTAACATCTATCCTTTTAAGCTTAATTATCTCGATTTCTGTAAGAGATATTAAACATTTGTAAAGCAAAAAAAATGTTGATAATGTCATGTCAAACATTTTATCAGTTGGAAGATTTTTTATGTCTTATAGAAATTGAGATAATTGAGCTCTAAGGGAAAGTATGGGATATAAATTTAGAGCTCACCAGAGAACAGTGCAGAGCATCGGATTGCAAACATGGAACATCCAGAAACAAGTATGACATGCTTTGTACGACTTGGTCACAGATTCTATTGAAACTTTTGCCAATTCAGTCCGGTCCATCATTGAATTCAGAAGCGTTTGAACACAACGAGATATATGAAAATTGATGGGGTGTGTCCCGTTGCTGTACATTCCCATTAAAGGCCACCGCTACAAATTGCTTTTCGTTTTGGATTGCTTTCACTGGAACACAAATATTAAAGGGGATTATCTTTTTTGATTCGAAGCGAAATTTATACGACAACGACGACAAAAAATGCGAAAGCAGAATCTATCAATGCGGAAACCAAAAAAACGTCTTTTTGGGGTCTTGAGATAGTTATGCTCCATCGGAGCATGTGCAATTTGTTTGAGTATAGAGGCAAATCACCTGTTTTATGTAGCTATAAGATATATATGATTTTTTCTGTGGTCGGGGGGGGGGGGGACACGAGATTGGAAACGGAAGAAGTAATGGATACATATAATGGACGTACAACGTCTGGAGGCAAGTTGGATCCATAGAAAAGAGTCAAAAAAGAGAGGAATACTATTCCCGGAATTGAGAATTACTGAGTTAGAAAAATGAATCTAAAATTTTAAGTGTTCGCCTTTCAGAACCCATTTGTGGTAGAATTGTTGAACTATTCTCGGAAAAACTACTGAAAATTTTGGAACTTTGGAAAGTGGAAAAGGGTCGGGATGTTTTAAACCAGCCTGTTTGCCGTGCCTCCAAACAAACTCAAACAGCTGGCTAGTGGGCCTTTGGCGCGAAACCAAGGAACGTCTCCAAAAGGCTTCAAAATCAAAATTTCGAAAAAAGGAACGTTGGGGCATCATCTCGCTCCTATTTTGGATTATCTGTGAAAATTTGAGAAATTTTGGTCTACTGGTGCCTTTGCTAGGGCCGGTGACACGGAACAAACGGACACACACACACACACACACAGAATTTGGTGATTGTTAATAGTAAAGATATGAAAATACATATTATGGGTATAACTTTCACTCTGTTCAACTTCGGTTTTCTCATCAGACAATTTCTCATAATAATGTATTCCCATGCCCCTGGGAAGACCCTTTGTTGTCTTCTTGTTATCGGTGTACTGTAAAACTGACACCTACGTTTTTCTCATGCCCCCCCCCCTGGGAAGATTCCCCTTCACATTTAACGATGGGTACCAATACAAGAGACAGCCATGAGACTCTGATATTCTCCCACGGTTAGATCCGGTTCCCAGGCTATTATGATAGAAGTGGTCCCGCCTATTTGTGCCAATGATCAATCCAAATGGAATTCTGCCATTCACTCATTTTCGCTTCGTCGGAATTGGTGACCAGTTTGCGGACCTCTCCTATATTGGATCTCTTATCAAGTCTACATCTTCATTAGTCTACAGTCTACATCTTCATTGCTGAACGGTGCATTATTAAAAAGTAAGTTTTTATTTTAAAAGTTGTCTCACTGTTCCTTCCAGTTTTTGAATTTCGTCTCAAAAATGTTCAAAATTTAAAAATTTCCAGATCTCCACCATGTCAAAAGCTCCATCTTCTACTTGCAAAGCTTCGAAAAAAGTATGCATCATCCCATTCCTCCGTGGACTTCTGGACGACAACTCAAACAAGAATATCATCTGCTGGACCGACAAGAGCAATTTAGAATTCCGACTATTGGATCAACACAAAGTTGCCGAACTCTGGGGACTCAATAAGCCAGGAAGAAAAGTCAAAGTGATGACGTACGACACGATGTCAAGATCGCTTCGAGAGTTTTGTAAAAAGAAGTTGTTGATAAAACTCGATGGAAGACGTTGTGGATATCGATTCGTGGATTCTGAAGCTTCCACTGAAAACCAACCACCTTTGCTTTTTGGAATTGACCGTCTTATGTCAGGTGACTTTGGAAATTCTTCGTCAGGGTGAGTTGAGAAAATATAAAGCATGACCCTGAAAAATTGGGAAATTTTCAGATTCTGTTGGTTAAGTTTGAGCTGATCTTCCACTTATATAATGCATCCGGAAACCGTAAATTCCCTTTTTAATTTCAAATTCTAGTAGTTACATTTTTCAGATCATCCTCACAACCATCGGATTCAACTTCTGGAACATCCTCTCCGGATTCTTTAAAGGACGCTCTCCTCCACTGAACTTCAATTCAAATTCTGCCTCATCACTCGGTTTGCTACAACTGCACCACAACAATCACTGATTTCCGATGATCCTTATCTCCACATAACCCTATATCCTATACTTCCTATTTTCTATTTGTTTCCTCTTGCGATAATAAACTTAATTGGTTTCAAACTGGAAATGATCTTGCATTGAAATATTCTGAAGATGTATACGATTACATTTATTTAGCAAACTCCAAGAATCCAACAGGATAAATGGTTTTCAAGTGCTTATCAGGAATCTGGGATGGGCTAAACAGCCAATGAGCAGATGATTGGGTTTCAGGCGATTGACCTACAAATAAATTCGAAAATGTCAGATTTCACGGTTTCATACGATCATTTGTTGTATTATTTTTGAGCGAAAACATGGTCCGACACACGGAGATACAAGGCGACTTCCGGAGTGATGAGGGTTGAGTACTGGAAGCAAAAGATCCGGTTATACGAGTTCAGCTAATGTGCCTCACCTTAATGCGACTGTAGATACATATGAAGTGGCAAATGCGAACCGCGTGAATCATATCAACTGGTTCCATCAAATATTTCGACATCAGTTGGAAAACTTTGTTCGCAAACAAGCTAATTTCCGGGAAGGGGATTTTCAAACCCAGATAAGACAGTTCATGTATCAAATACTCCACGGAGAGTGCGGAACTTTCTCGAACCTCTTTCTTGTTGCTAGGCGGAGTGATGTTGAACTTTTGGAGGTCTTCAAAAAATGTTTCCTTGATTTGGTTGACTTCCGATTCTGCCACCAAGTCTTTCTGGAAACAATACGTTCACTTTGACCTATAATATCTCGGTTCTTTCAAAATGTATCAAAAATTTGTTAACTGATAAAATGATGCTGAAATCATGAAAAACATTGTATGAATTGAAAAACTTTTGATACCTTTCAAAGGAACTGAGATAATTGAGCTTAAAGTGAGCATATTAGAGCATAAACGCTTACTTTTAAAACATATTCAAGACTTTTGAATGATTTGATAATATTATCACGCTGATCGTCTGATGCTCCTTGAAAGAATCCTTTGACATGAGTCCATTCAATTAATTCGAAGATAATATCAAGAGCGTCGATACAATAATTATCATCCGGTGTTGGGATCCAGACCGCCTTATGGCTAGTTTTTCGAAATGGAGTGATAACAAACTGAAATTTGATGATTAAGATAGCCGAATCAGGTTTAAGCTTGATATCTTTATAATCACCTCAATTCTCCAAATTTGGCATTTGAGGAGTTTGAGCAATTCTGGATAATACAGTGTTCCCATCGGTCCGCTATCACCAATCGCCTCTTCGATAACAGCAGTTTCAAGTCCAGCGCGTCGCATCTCTTGAAGCAGTTCGACTCCAAAAACATAGTTTCCAAAGTGCTCCCCGAATAGACGAACGGTTGGTTCTTGAGAGCCTGCTTTGTTTAGAAGGAACCAAGATTCATTTTCAGCAACGAATCTATCAAACTCGTCAAAAACGATGCTCGCCACGTGGAGAAGATTCTCGAAGAACTTGGCATTTATTCCAACAGGCCTCTTTTTGTGCAACTTCAAAAAGTGCTTATAAAGCGAAGTGAATTCTGGATCGTGTTTGTTTCTTGGCATGATTCCTTTGAACTTCTCGAAAACATCCTTTAGTGACTTTACTCTCTTTTTCTTCTTGCTAGACTTCTTAAAACTCGAATATCTCATTTCGATTTGATTTTTGAGCTCATCAAACTTTTCCACATCAAATGGCACCATCTCATATATGGCACCTCCCATCATGCATTCCTTGGTTCTCAAATAAATTGCCACAATTGGAAACAGAGGCATATTATCTGGATTTTTCTTGATGCTGGAAGTCCAAACTTCATAATTCATTTGAGCAAGAAGGTCATGTTTGTAGATGTAACTCTTTCCTTTGCGAGTTTTGTAGATTGCTGGTTTGAGCTGAAAATTAAATTGAATAAAAAAACTATTTTCCAAAAACGACAATAATTGAATCACACTTACCGTGCAGTACTTGGTTGAGAGTTCTGTCTGAAATTTATTCAAACTCCCTGGAAAGTTCCGGAACTTTTCGATTTCCTTACACAATTTTTCCGCTCCTCCATAGTAGTTCAATCTGGGATCAGCAACCTTGAGACAAGCTTCGTCATTTTCAAAAGTCACAAGATCCCAATATTCGTTTGGAAGGTATGCATGGTATATCGAAACAGTGTCGGGGAATTTGAGATTGGTGAGAAAACTCATCTAATTTCTGAAAAAAGGGATATAGATAACAACTAAAACGAAGTCGAAGTGCCCTAAAAGCACATGATGTAATTCAAACATAGAATCAAAACGCAAAAAAAACGAACACACATCCATAGAGCGCGTTTGTTGCGTCCCCCAAACGAATGCGTGTTCTGTTAGGTGGTTGGAGAGATATCAATTTTCATAAGAGGTGGAGGGGAAAGAAAGGGAACGTGTTGGTTTTGGAAAGGCTGTGTAATGATGAAACAGTCCAAGAAGAAAAAGAAAAAAAGAGACACGTGGTGTTCGTATATAAATCAAAACCATGATTACTGTGATAAGACAGTTGAATGGAACACCGTAAAAACTGTAATAAAGGGCCCTTAACTTTTAATTTTGAGCAAAATTTTATCGCTTCCTGTCAAAGATATTTAAAAAATTTCAACTGATAAGTTATTTATCACAACATCACCAATATTTTATTAGTTGACAACTTTTTGATATCTTCCACAGGAAGCGAGATGATTGAGCTCAAAGTGCAAGTATTGGGTAGGCTTCCGTTGGAGCATTTACAGCATTTCGCTTAGCTGGATTTGTACAAAAAATGTGCTAATACTGAAGCTTCGATATTCAATATAAAATTGAAATTTTCAGAACATAGAAAAATTGCTTTTCCACAATTTTAAATAAGTTTTAGAATACTCTCATTATTTAATTAATTTCAAGAGTACCCATGACCTGTGCAGTCCATTTTTCCACAGATTCTTCACAAATTTGATTTTGACAAATTACTTTTTACCAGGAGCGTAGTTTTCAGAGTATACTCATGAACAGGTCAGGTATACAGTATACCGTTTACGGTAGTCTACCATTTGTGTATCGTACACTATTGACTCTGCCCGTTAACTAATATTGAGTAACAGAGACTTCCGGATCCCGAGCTTTTTCCAGTTTCCATATATTTTTTTCCCGGATTCCGAAAAACTTTGTTTATCATTAAACCTGTAATGAAAGGATCCCCACACTATCAAGTTTGAACTCAATTATCTCACTTTCTATTAAAGATATTAAAAATGTGTCAACTGACAAAACATTACTGATATTATGATAAACAATTTATCAGTTGACAACGTTTTCATATCTTTGACCAAATTCGAGATAAATCAGCTCAAAGTTGACAAGTTGGAGTCCTTCTAATACAGGTTCCACGGTATTCCGGATTCCGTTTCTTCCGGACATCTCTACAGAGTATACTACCGTAAACCGTAACCTACGATTTGTGTATTTGGGTATACTTTTTGACTCCGCCCATCAGAACCAACAGTAAAACGGCTAGAAAATATTCAGTCATTCTTATTCTTTTCCTTTCACGAAATTGTTGACCATTCTCCTAGTCTCTCAAACAATTACAGAATTTCAGAATTCCAAAATGTCGTACCCATCATCGGCCACCACTCAAAAAGTTTCCTCTAAGAAAATCTGCATTCTACCATTCCTTCATGGACTCTTGGACGACGAATCCAAAACGGACATCATCTGCTGGACTGACAAAGCTGCACGAGAATTTCGTTTCGTGGAAAAACACAAAGTCGCCCAACTCTGGGGAGCTACAAAGCCAAACCGACGACTAGAGGTTATGACATATAGCAATATGGCTAGAGTGTTGAGAACGTTCTGCAAGGATGGAATGTTGGAGAAGATCAGTGGGAGATCCTGTAGATGGCGATTTGTGGATTCTGAAAATTCCCAACAACCTCTATTGTTTGGCATCGACCGTATTCTGTCTAGTGACTTTGGAAATGGGTGAGTATCAAATTTTAAAAGATTTTTCGAATAAATTAATTTTATACCATTTCAGGTCCTTCCCACCATCTCCAGCTTCTTCAACTACTTCTGGATCGCCAAGCTCCACACCTGAAATCATCTAGAATTCATAGATCCAGATTCCATATGAAAAATAACCAAAATTTCCTATTTTTTCATTTCAATGTTTCCCAAACTTTTTTTATAGAGCCCTAATAAAGTTTATAACAACTTTTTATGAGTTTAGATTCTCTGATAAGATCCATATACAAATTTGGAGTTTCGAATTTAGGATTTATGGATTGTTGTGGAGCTTTTTCTTCCGAATCTTTTTCTTCCGAATCTTTTTCTGACATCCTCATACTCTCGAAACCAAATAAAAGAAGCTTCTCCTCCCCGTTCTCTTTGACAAACTTCTTAAAAACCTGTAATTAAATTCGATTATTATTTAAACGTGAGTTCTATCATGTCATCTTGCTCCTGACCATGGCTCCAGTATCAGGGCCCAGACTCCAGAACCCAGGCTGCAGGACCCGGGCTAGAGGTCCCGGGCCGCAGGACCCAGGCCGTTGGACCAGGCCATTAGCCCAGGCCGTTGGACCAGGCCATTAGCCCAGGCCATTGGCCCAGGCCCAGGCCGTTGGCCCAGGCCGTTGACCCAGGCTGTTGGCCCAGGCTGTTGGCCCAGGCCATTGGCCCAGGCCGTTGACCCAGGCTGTTGGCCCAGGCTGTTGGCCCAGGCCATTGGCCCAGGCCCAGGCCGTTGGCCCAGGCTGTTGGCCCAGGCCCAGGCCCAGGCCCAGGCCCAGGCCCAGGCCCAGGCCCAGGCCCAGGCCCAGGCCCAGGCCCAGGCCCAGGCCCAGGCCCAGGCCCAGGCCCAGGCCCAGGCCCAGGCCTAAGCCCAGGCCCAGGCTCAGGCCCAGGCTCAGGCCCAGGAGCTCCTTCTCGGGTCCCCTATCTGGAGCCCCGAGAAGACGAGAACTGATTCTTCTCTTCACTTCTCTCTTCCTTTATAGCATCCTCCTCAAGTCAATGGGCCATCAACGGTCATGGGTCACTGTAAAAATGCACGTAGCTTTTTTGGTTTTATAATTTAAAACACTTTTTTTTGAAACGTTGATTTATTAAATCGCAAATAATTTTCTTTTCATCACGTTTAAAATAATATATATTAGAAAAGTCAACTATATAAAGTTTCCTCATAATTTCACCAAAATTTTATCAATTAACCAATTTTTGATATCTCTCATAGGAACCGAGATAACTGAGCTCAAAGTGCACAAGGGAGCATTTATCGAAAATTAGGAATAAAGTTGGCTGCCTCTGGGATGACTACACTTTTCTTCTCTATATTTATTTTCGCTATCACATCTGAAATTCTGACTGATACGACTGATATGCAACACCTCTTCTTCCTGGATTACTATTTTGTCTATCGAGTCTTAAGGCAATCCTTCTCCATAACGGATAAGCGGGGAGGGAGTCATCCCGGCCCCTGAAAGAAGGATGATAACTCACTTAAATTTCCTGTTTTCCCTCATATTCACACATATCTACATATCTGTTTTGCTCCATTGACACCTCTTTCGTCACAAATCGCAGCATTCAAAAGAAGATAAATATTCCACACCGCTCTTGGCCAAATTAAATGGCGACGATGCATAATCAAGTGATTATCCAAATGCGGCTTAGAATACGTATAAATATGTGTGCGGGCTGTATGTCTATGTGTATCTTGATATGAGAACGATGTTCGTGATGGGAATTTTCTTTGTTTTTTTACGAAACATCCCATTTTCTCTTTTTATCAATCCCATTTTGTTGATAATGGTATTTTTGGGGAATTTATTTTATGAAGAAAATAGGATCTAGAATGATCTAGAATCTGAAATTTCTAAATTCTTTATTCATAAATTTCAAAAATCTGGGAAAAATAGAGTTCCAAAAAAATTAAAGTTCAAGGACAAATACCGTGTTTCCTTTGACAGAGCCGTTAACTTTAAGCTCAATTATCTCGATTTCTGCCAAAGATATCAAAAAGTAGTCAACTAATAATTTACTTATCATAATAAAAGCAATATTTTATCAGTTGACAACCTTTTGATATCTCTTATAGGACCCAAGATAATTGAGCTCAAAGTTGATAGTGAGAGGTGGCTGCTATCAGAGCATTTACAGTAATTTTCTCTTTCGCAAGTCCTTATTCTTCATAAAATTCGTACTAATTCTATTTTTTAAATTTTGTTCTTCTCAACAGCCGGCGGAGGTTACAGAACCCGACATTCCAGAATTTTCTTTTGCATTTCTTCATAGGGGTTTTGCACAGAATCGTAGAGTTCTGAAACGTCGTGGTTCTGAAACATCCTGGAGCCCAATTTCCTCCTCCACAAATTCTTGTTTTTCAGGACCACCTCATCTCACCCAAAAAACCCCAAAATGTTTGCCCAAATGGCCTCGTCGGATCGTAGTATCAGCATCGAGGTGACTCGAGCCGACACTCGTGATCGGGTGAGTAAAACTTGTTTTTGAAATCTTTTCTGAATATGTGTTCGAGTTGTTTATGCTGAAAATTCTAGATGAATCGAGGAGATAAATCGAAAATCATAATATCATCATTCCGGATATTTCATGATTTGATTGGATTAACATATGAGATGCAGCCAAAAAAAAGCATTCGCTTTTCATTCATTTTTGGTTAACGTTGGAAAACTATATTCGGCATTTAGAGATCTTACTGTAGATTGTGCAACACATTGCTCCAAACCCTTTACCGTCTTAATCCTAGAACAAGTGAGCTTGTCCCATCCATAATCCCCTCGTGACAGCTTTGCTGACGTAGCCACCAGATTCTGGTTAATCTGAAATCCAAATGAAATTTCTAAACTACTCATCTTTGAGATTTTAAGTTAATAGGATGATCGGTTAGAATATTTTGACGCAATTTTTGATATGAACTTTAAATGGCTTCATGCATTTTGACGAAACCGAAAAAGTTTGGTCAGAAATCTTGCAGACTTTTTAGTCAACAAAATTTGGGGAACAAATTCAAAGTGAGGGTGTTATGGGCTAATAACGATTAGGCTTGATTGAAAAATGAAAAAAAAAATGCTGATTGGTGTTGTTTGGGTGGGCGGGTGGAGGATGAATAGACTGTTAAGTAGAATGGTTATATAATATCACATTAGAGGTTTAGGATCAGAAAACTGTTATAACATTTTATGTCTAAAGACAAGATTTTGGATTTTTGAAATAAGGGAAATTGGCGATGTAGGGATCTTTGAAATTGTCTGGTGAATTGAAGGATTATAGACAGGTGGACAGCCTGACACGAGTTCCATATCAGATGATTTCTAGATTCCAAGGCTATGGTACCTACCTATCAAAAGGTTCCTAGATCCGAAAGTTTCTAGATTCTAAGGTTCCTAGATCCTATGGAAAGCTAGGTCTTATGATACCCAGATTCTTCGAATTCTAGATTTTGTGGATCCTAGATCCTATGGATCTTTAACCCTATAGATCCTATATCCTATGGATGATGGCTCTGATACCGAGTAATGCTTCAAACTCTAGATTTTGTGATTTTAAATTTTACAACCCATGATCCCATCCTCAAGAACTTCTGATTCATGTTGTCTTCAAATCAAAAATTCTTGTGGACCTTGATGTTCACTTTTCCTAGACAGTGGCTAAATCCCACCAAGTTTAATCCAGTGTGAAAAAAAACAGAGTCAAAATTGAGTCAAAATCCCTTTTTCAGCTTCTGATTGAAATGCCTTTTTTCAAAGACCGAAAAGGATAAAATATTCCTGGCACTTCTTTTTCCGAGTATCCTTTCTCCAACAGTATTCAAGCCATACAATATCTTTAAAATACACCACATTCCAGAAATTCAAGCAGCGAGGATCAAGGAGTTTTAAGATCAGTCATAAGGCTTCGGATTAGCGTCTCCTCTGAATACAACAATTGACACCAATCTATTGTTACTAGTTTCCTAATCTCTAATCTTCCCCACCTCGTGATAGTGTGTCGTGTTGCCCGTGTTTCGGACTCCACCTCTCTCTCTCTCTCGCGAAGCTTCATCAATTATCCCGAGCCCCATATATCTGCTTGACTCCTCCCTCCCTCGCTTTCCCCGGAGATAATCCGTGTATTCATATTCTTCTATATCCAATCACCGGATATACGCATACACATCCTCATATTCTCTCCGTATTCTCCTATTTCGAATGGGCAGCAGTTTCGCTGAACTGCCGCCAAGACAAAGAGCCCCGCGAATCGGATTCCATCCTCAAGCCACCTCATTGGCATCAAGAGTCAAGAAAATGGTGGGTTTCTAGGATTCTGAAAATTCTAGTATGTGTGTTCTGATATCTGGAAATCGTAAAAATAGAAAAATAGATGTACAACCTGTCATCTCATCTAGTATTCCACGTGAGCACATTCTGGAAATGTGTCTCCAGTAAACAGGCATAGATCAAAAAGTTAGGTGGTGGTTGGTCTAGGAGTTGGCAACACGCGCACCTTGAAGTTCGAAGATTTTCGAATGATAGGGAAGATTTTTGAGACTCTCAAGAGGATCCGGTAAAAAATAGCATACTTGAAAATGGGCCCTGCCATAGTTACTTTCAGGATCAATATTTTAAACCAACTGTACAGATATGATAGAACTCAACGTGTACTACAAAATGATACAAGTTGAATTACTGTATCTTGTCTATGAACAAAGTAACAAGGTCATTAAGCTGGGAGTGTAGCTCAGACCATACTTGTAAAATTCCGGGCCGGGCCGGGCCTGAGGAAAATTTCAAGGCCCGGGCCCGGCCCGGAAGGCCCGGTAGCAAAAATTTTGTCAATTTGAACCGAACTTTGAGCTCTCAATACAATTTCTATATTTTTTTTGTGCTTTTTGGATTGTTTGTCTGTTTGATCAAAAAATACCAAAAAAAAAACTCGAAAAAATTTTTTGATCGAAAAAAAAACACATAAGGGTCCCCCCTTATGTGTTTTTTGAAATTTTCAAAACTTGTGGAATGACAGGCCCGCCGGGCCGGGCCTCCGAAATTCGGAAAAAAGCCCGGCCCGGCCCGGCCCGTTACAAGTATGGCTCAGACAGTTTTGGCTTCAAACTTTGTTCATAGACTAGATACAATTTTCAAAAGAATACCATTTTGTAGAACTTGTCAAGTTCTATTTTATCTGATTTAGAAAATTCCAAAATATTGAGTTTGAAAGAAACTGTGGCCCGTTTTCAAATATGAAAACTATCGAGGATCTATACTTGGGTGTCGCCGGCAATTTCTGGTCAGGGGTTGGTCAGATTCCAGATAAGAATGCTACCAAAGCCAAAGTTCCAAGCTATTAGTATTTCAAATTTCAACTTTGCGACCAAAATCTGACCATGTTCCGCTATACAGCCGTTTTTAGCCAACTTCCGACTAAAACATGGGTTTTTAATTCAGTAAATATTGGATTCCAAGAATCTAGAATTCATAAAATTTATAATCCATGCTTGGGCGTCACCAGCTGACCTTGGCCCGCTATACAGCAGTTTTCGGCCAACATCTGGCTAGACGACCAAAACTCACTGAATCCCAAAACGTTCCAATCATGACTCAACCAGACAAACTATTATTGTTTAGCCTCCTTGAAGGATTTCCGAAACTTCTCATTACTTATTTTTCATTCGATGAATCATACCTCTGAAAATCCTCTGAAATCCCGAAAAACAAGACATGGCTTCTATAGCCAGCGGAGACTATATAATTCGATATCTATGGATTTTCACACATCCAACCCTGCTTGCGTCAATAATATATATTTTTATATTTTGAGTACTTTTTCATTTGAACCGCATTTTTCTTATTCCAAAGATAATCCTACTTTTCTCGTGTTTGGATAATATTCTTAGGATAAGGAAATGAAGGCGTGGACGTTTTCAGGCGGTATATAAGTAGGAAGAGCCATCTTTCCTTGCTTTAATATGAACTAGACTCATTTCTAAAAACATTTCATTTCCGATTAAAAATTCTTCTTCTAGGCTATGAGGGTGGAATATCTAGGTGACAAGCTAAAGCCACCAGCTCAATCCTTTCCCTAGACTCATAAATTTTTCTCTCTCTCTCCATGTGATATATAAGATGTCAACAACTTTGGTGTACATACAGCAGAGACCTCTCGTTATCAGAAATTCATGTCACGAAACCTCCCGGTCCCGCCTTTTCCAGTTACGCTCAGCTAGTTACGCCTTTTTATCTTTCGATTCCAGCTATTCATTTTTGTTTCTATTTCTGACCAAAAAAGCGGAAATTAATATTTTTTTTCCCCATATTAAAAATCCAATTTCCGCTTTTTCAGACACTTTCAACAGGATCCTCCCTCGACTCGGAGACTAGCCACCGCTCGAAAAACATTCCAATGATTTTCCAAATGTACGAATCGCAGTACGACGACCTTCGTGGAACCATTTATGGACCAAGCTCACCGGATTTCAAGCCGGTCCAGGCTTCCGAAACTCTCCGTTCTTCGCTCCACGGGCTCGGTTAGTTTTTTTGTATGAGTAGTGAAAAACGAGGAATTTTTTCAGACACCAATGATCAGACCATCATCAACACGGTTTTGTATCACAACAACTTCCAACGTCAGAAGATTTTGGGAGCTTATGAGGATATGTACAGCAGGGTGAGTAAATTGAATAGAATCTCAAGAATCCCTTAATAGGATTCTAGAAGTTTCTAGAAGCAAAGAATTTAAACTTCGTATGCCTGAATCCTGAATCAAGTTTGTGCCACGCATCATTTCGAATAGGACTCTTTTGGGATAAGTAGGATACGGTGGCCTAGTTTCTGAGTCGGACTGATCGGCTCAAGACAACCTGCCCGCGGCCTGAGTCACGGCCGGCTGCGGCCGGGAATTGCACAGTCTTGCCTAAAGAATTCAGTTGATTTTTGTCCATTTTCATGGGTTTCTAGCTCACAGCCGAGGTCTAAACTCCTGAAAATGGTCAAAATGGCCAAACATCAACTGCAAAATAATCCATTTTAGGGCCACTAGACGTATCCTACCTATCCCAAGGGAACTATTCCGAATCCTGTGGCCGGCCTTGCTCTCAAAGGGAGGAGCGGGCCGACCAACCAGGGAAAACTAGAATTTAAAAAAAGAAGGCGTACCAGCTAGTTAATACGTATTGTACGGTGGCCTAGTAACCCTAGTAGATTCTGAGTCGAACTGATTGGTCCACAGCAACCTACCCACAAACTGAGCCACGGCTGGCCGCGGTCTTCAGAGCCTAAACTCAACAACGCCTTTTCCAGAAACTTCTCGAAGACCTCGAAGAAGAATGTGGAGGATTCTTCTTTGAAATGTGCCAGGCGCTCTTCAAAGCCGCACCCAACTACGACGCCCAATGCGTCTACAAATCGCTCTCCAACCGCCACGGTGATCGCTCGGTCGCCATTGAAATCGCCTGCACTCGCTCACCACGTGTAAGAGATTATTAACAAATGCTGATACCTATAGTCCCTTTTCAGCAGCTACGGGCTCTCCGCGATACTTATCAAACGGATTATCGCAAATCCCTGGACAAAGATATCACTGTGAAGGTATAGCATTGACTCTTGAGAATCCCTACATACAAAAAGTGCTTCAGGTGGAAGGTGTAACTGGAAAAATGTTGAACATGCTGCTCTGCGTTAACCGGGAGGAGGGACTCGGCGTTCGTCTCAACGACGAGTTAGTCGACAAACATGTCAAAATGTTGTCAGCAACTACAGTCGATGATATTGCCAGGAACGTGAACCTATTCGAGGAATTGTTCATTGGACACTCATGGAAGCATATCGGAACCGTTTTGGATAAAGTCGACGAGGCTAGACCCGATAAATCGGATTTTGAGACACAGATTCGTCGCAACAAGAGCATTCACTCCGAAGCTCGTTTGATTCTTCTTACCATTGGTGAGTAGAAACTCAATCAACTTTGAGCCAATTTTCCTCGGTTCCTGTCAAAGATACGAAAAAGTTTTAAACTGATAAAATGTTTATGATATTATGTTAAACCTTTTATCAGTTGAAACATTTTTGATATCTCGCATAGGAGACAAGCTAAATGAGCTCAAACTTGGCCTACGAGCCAGGGGCGCAGATGGTGTTCCAAAGGCACTCTGATTGGGACACGGTGCCCTAGCGTGCCAAAAATTGGCTGTATATAGACTCCGAAACCTATCATATTTCCAGCCCGGGTCTCCCGCAGTATCCAAATCTATTTCGCCGAGAAACTCCGCACAGCTATGACCGCCGAACGTGTCGATCAATCGACCATCATCAGAATTTGTGTTAGCCGCAGTGAGGTAAGGATCAAGGCTCCCAAGAAAATCGAACAATTCCTAAAAATTCAGATTGACTTGCAAGACATCTCCCTCGAGTACAAACGCAAGTTCAACCGCGCCTTGGAGACCGACATCAGCATGTACACATCTGGAGAGTACACCAGAATGATCATCACATTGCTCAGCGGATTCAACAACATGGAGAACAGTTTTGCGCCGACTCCGGAGTCAATTGAATAATTTTTTGTGTCCTCCATATACCGTAAACACTAATAGAACGCCACCCAAGCCGTCAACTATGAGCCCATGTACCTCGGTGCCAGTGAAAGGTATCAAAAAGTGGTCAACTGATAAAATGTTTATCATTATGTCAGCAACATTTATCAGTACACCACTTTTTGATATCTTCCATAGGAATCGAGATATATGAGTTCAAAGTTGTCGGTTTGGATAGCGTTTTAGAATGTTTACTGTATTTTGGTCCTTCTTCTTCTTCTTGTACTACTACTCACTCATTTTTATACATATTCATTCTAAATACTAATTATTCATTCATTATTTATTTGGAAAACAAAAAAAGAGATCATCTACACGAATGTCCGTTCATATTTTTTGATCGAAGGTTTTTTAAAGGAATAAAGTCGAGTTTCTGATTTGAGTATTTCGGTTCATGTTCTATTTGGCGACTGCTGGCGATGGCGACGCACTGGAGCGTTTCTTGTGTGCACGGATGAGAGCTTCTTGGGTCGTTGAGAACACCAGACGTCCGTCACGGGTCCACAGTTTTCCCTCGATAAGACTGCGTCCACCGCCGGCGATGGTGGAGTGGTTCTCGTAGAGGAGCCAGTCGTCCACACGGAAATTGTCAGTGTGCATCCAGATTGAATGGTCCAGAGTGAGAGCCATCGATGGGATGAAGCCGCGTCTGAAAGTCAACACTAGAAATCATTATTCAGACATCTGAAGCTTAAATTCTATTCTTCTCGAAGATTGTAAAACCATAAACAGAGCAGAATTACAAGGACTGATACCGTAAACACTCTAATAGAACGCCACCCCAGACGGCCACTAGTTTAGATTCTGAACTTACTTGGAATGTGGTCTCAACGCCGTCTCAATCATTGTGGCGTCCGAAATATAAGCGGCCGCGGCCATATGAAGACGTGGATCGTCTCCAATGTTCTCATTAGCCTTGATCCATACATACGACCTGTAGGCGTCAGTTGGGTGTCCATGTCCGGCACTGTGATTCTCATCCTTTGTTAGACAGAGGTACGAGTCGATGTCCACAGGGCGGAACTGGAAGAAATCTAATTTTATTGATCCTTAGATTCTTAGAGGTGGGAGGGAAAAAACTTTCTCAGTCTTTTTGGTTGACGGTATGCATTCTGACGTGATGGTATATAGTGTCTAGTGTCTCAGCTTGCGCAACCGTAGCGCCGCGGCGCCCCCAGCAGTGAGCTCACAACTTCAATTCCTTATGTCTCCCACCTTTAAATTCTGAAAAAAAGTTACATACCGAAAAGATTCTGAAGAACGCTGGTGGAATCTCCTTTTGCTTGAATCCAATCATTGCCAATGCCGCTGGTGGAATGTTGGTGTTCTTCTTGATGCGCTCGAAAGTGTCCGATAAATCTTCCAAGCTATCTGGAGCGGGAACCTCTGGCATCGGAAGCTGGTGGACGATTGAATCGGCTTCTGGCTAAAACACACATTTTTAGAGACTCGTATCTATTTTTCAGTACTTTTGACCATTTTCAAAAGTCTGAAGCTCGGCTGTCAAGTGTCGAAACAGTTTGAAAATTTTGAAGGGTGTAAGACAGACCTGGATTGATAACATTGCATGTACATAATATTTGGAAAACTCTTAGTTTTTCAGCTATTTGCCGATCTCTGAAAAACACCTGTTTTTCACGTTTTCAGTACCAAAACGAAGTGTCTTTCGGAAATCGACAAATCGCTGAAAAACTATGAATATTCCAAAAATTCTGTGAATGCAAAGTTTTCAATCTGGGTTTGTTTTACACTCTCAAAAATTTTCAGACGGACCGGAAGCTTGAAAATAGTCAAATTGTAAAAACCCCGACTCACTCTATGGAATGAAATCTGCACCGTGAAGATGGCTTCTCCATCTTGCAACGCCTTCACCAGACGAGTGCAGAAACTCTTTCCGTCACGGATGCGATCCACTTGGTAGAGAATCGGACGATTCACGTTTCCGGATTGCACAAAGTAGCTGTGAAGACTGTTGGGCACGAATCCAACGTCGACAGTGGCTGTGGCAGCGGACAGGGCTTGTCCGATGACTTGTCCCCCATAGACAACTGGAAGGGAGATGCGTCCTTTGAGCAAGTGACGAGCTCTGAAAAAATGTATGTAAAAATACCAGCTGGATTTTTTAATCAAGGCTTTTAGCTGGAAATTATATCGAGAATCTAAAGTTCGCTCTAATAGAAGCCCTCCCTAGAACCCCTATTTGAGCTCAATTATCTCGGTTTCTGTGAGAGATATCTAACATTTGTCAACTGATAAAATGTTTCTGATGTTATGATAAACATTTTATCAGTTGTCAACTTTTTGATATCATTCACTGGAACCGAGATAAATTGGCTCAAGGTTAAAAGCTAGTGTGCCATCTATTAGAATGTTTACTGTAAATGTCATAACAGGGATTTTTCAGGCTACAGCCATTATTTAGCTCCATAAAAACTTACAAATACAAATTCTTATCCACACGCTCCAAATTAAGAAAAGTGTCGATGAGTCCGGCGCGAATGTCTTCGGCTCGCGAAGTCATATCAATGTGGGTGACATTGAGAAGCGACGGATAGTGAGGGTGACCGTTCTGATCGTCCATTTCCATTGATCTCTGAAATTGGGGATTCTGAATTTCCGGGAAGTTAAATGAGAAAAAAAATAGGAGAAAAAAGACAAGAAGACTATACAAAAAATAAGAGACAAAAGGGGAAAATGACTGAAACGGACGAGATGGGCAAGTGAGAAGTTCCCTGTTGGTACCACGTGGCAGGTGACATAACTGTCAAAAGTTCCAGAAAAAAACAAGGTTAAGGGGTTAGCAAAACTTTTGTGTTTCCGGTTTTGGGATGTTAACCAGGTACATAAGTTTTCCAGATCTCCAAAAATTTATATTTGAAAAGTACCGTACTTCCTAGAATAGAGGCACACTGTTAATTTTGAGAACCATTAACTTTGAGCTCAATTATCTCGGTTCCTCTGAGAGATATCAAAAAGTGCTCAACGTATAAAATGTGGGTGATATTATGATAAACAATTTATTAGTTGAACACGTTTTGACATATCTTGTAGAAAATGAGATTTGTGGGCTCAAAGTTGAGTGGCATTCTAGCAGAGTGCCTACAGTTTGTAAACTTGCTTGAGTCTAGAAATATCGAAAAAAAAGCAAACATTTTTCAACGAATCGGAAAAGCCCAAATTTAAGATTTAAATTTGAAATTCAAAAAATGTTGTCCTAAAATTTATGGTCAAATCTAATCTGGTTTGTAACGGAATGCGATCACCAAACTGAAATAATTTGAAAACTGAAGGAAACTTTGAGCACAATTATCTCGGTTCATGTGATAGATTTCAAAAATCTGTAAACTGATAAAATGTTGTTGATATTGTGATAAACAATTTATCAATTGAACTTTTTTTGATATCTCTTACAGGAGACGAGATAATTGAGCTCAAAGTTGACGATTCTAGAAATATCGAGAAAATAAGAGCAAACATTTTCGCCCTATTTTAAAAAAAAAATTGAAAACACTTGAGACTTACATTTGAAATTAAAAAAATTTCGTCTCAAAATTTACTGTCAAATTTGTTCTACCTTGTGACGGAACACGATTATAGAACTGGACCGATTTGAATTCAAATGAAATTATAGTACTTTTGAGTCAATTCACCATGAAAATTGGTTGGTTCCTTGCCAAAAAACAGACAATACAAGAAAAAAACGACTAATCCCAAGACAATTTAAAACACTAAACAAAAAAAAACACAGAAATAATTTGGCCCAGAAACTCAAGTTTTCAAACTTTCTCTCTCCAAGATTAACCCAGAAAAGTGTAGAGAGGGGAGTGAAAATGGCTTAGCAAGAGGCTACAAAGATAGAAAACCAGAGAAAAGAGGAGCAGAGAAAAAAGGGCAAAAGTGAACACTGTTTGACTCACCGACGGTTGCGAACTAACAGATTGAGGACGGTGCGCAAAATGGCTCTCGATCGGAGGTGTGGACATTCCCGATGTTATTGTTGGAACAAAACTTTCGAAGCGCTTTTGAAGAAGAACGAGACGGGCTGTCTGGAATAGAGTGAATTATATTTTTGAAGAGAATTGCAAGAAGATATTTTTGTGATCCTTTTAAAAAACACTAAAGAAAAGAGGGAAAAAGAGAACACAAGTGTTTTCCAGAGAGATGAATCGAAGTGGCAAAAAAAAAGATGAGAGGGTGTCCCTGAGGAGATGTGGAGACGCAGACGGTGAGAGTAGAAGAGGACGAAGAAGAGGCTCGAAACACGACGGATTAGCATAGAAGCGGGGAGATGGAGGACAAGCGAAGAGAGAAATATCGGAATGAAGAGAGAAAGGAATGACACGAAGGACGGAAACATTGGATCGGTTTGATTTGGATTTGGATTTCTAGGAAAAGGAAATGAGTGGATGCGTGAAAGTGCTGAATGGAAATAAAAATTGATGGGATTAAGCTGATTGTATATTGAGAATTCTGAATGGAAGATATTTTTCAAAATTTGTGATTTTGCTAAAAGAAAATCTAAAAATTTTAGAAACGTTTTAAATCCTCAAACTGCTATTCAATGAAATTACGGGGGAGCCTGTAATAGAAGGTCCTCCACACTATCAACTTTGAGCTCAATTATCTCAATTCCTGCAAGAGATATCAAAATTTTGTCAACTAATAAAACATTGGTGATAATAAGATAAAAATTTATCAGTTGACAGATTTTTAATATCTTTTACAGGAACCGAGATAAATTGTTTCAAAGTTAGTGCCTTTGATTACAGGGGTTGCGATTTCAGTTTTTGAAGTTCACAAAAAAAGTTTGCCTGGTGAACTCCCTAGAAGGTTTTGGACACAAAAAACTGCAAAAATTGATTGAATCCGTAGATCAAAACCGAATAATGTTTTTCCATCAAGGTTAACAGAGGTGCAATTTCTGACCAAGCCTTTTTGACCTCTTTGGAAACCGCATTTTGGCAAAATTTTGAAATTTTAAATATTCTGAACACAAAAAAAATAATGAAAACATCAAGGAACTTCGTGTCTTGTAGAGTTTTTAAGTTTGGCGGCAATTCAAAAAAGTTAGGTACTGTAACTCCTCCCCCGAAGAAAGGCACCTGAATTTCGAGATCAATTATCTCAGTTCCTATCAGAGATATCAAAAATTTTTCAACCTATGGAATGTTGACCATAATATTAACAACATTTTATCAATTGACAAATGTTTGATATCTATTATAGAAACCAAGATAATTGAGCTCAAAGTGCAACTGTAGGGAAATCAGAGCAATAACGGTAATTACCGAGATAAAAAATGACATAAGTGAAAAATAGAAAAATAATTGTGCATCTAATTAAGAAATTCTATTTTTACTAAAAATGACGTAAATAGCGTACATTTTTGGCTCCCATGATCAAAAACAAGTTGTTATGCGAAAGTGAAAAAATCAAAGAACCCAACAGAACAAAATGAACAAAACCTAAAACCTTGAGGCAATTTATCTCGGTTCCTGTTAATGATATCAAAAAGTTGTCAACTGATAAATTTTTTATTATATTATTACCTACATTTTATCAGTTAATGCATTTTTGATATTTGGTATAGGAGCGGAGATAACTCACCTTAACCTTGACAATATGGGGCCCTTCTATTACAGGTTTTACGGTGTAATTTGAAATCAAAAGGAGAAAGCACGGCAAACTATTCATCTAACGTATTTCAAGTTGGGATTGTTGACATACGGCAATAAAATCACTTTATAGGGCATATAGGTAAACTTTGAGAACGCTATGTGCCTTTTAACCATTTTTGGGCAATAAAAACTAAAGGAAACTATGTGTATGCTTAAAATCTAGAAGGTTAGAACATGCGGCCAGATGAGAAAGAAAAACAAAAAAACATTCCCAGATCTCAGCTGCTGCTCCAGCAAAGTTTCGTGTGTGTTATTGGGGGTGCTATGTTTTTTTGCAGAGAGGAACTCCCCGAGCAAACAATTGTGCTCAGCACGGCTGACTGCGCTCATCTCACTGAGCAAGAACAGAATCATTGAATCTGCGTATATACGGAGCCATTAATTAGATTTGGTTGGGAATCTTGTCACGCGATGCACAAAAAAATAATGAGGAGGTGAAAAGGAAATTGGAGAGGAGGGGGGTTAGGGAATTGGACATCTGATTCTAGAGGGAAAAAAAGCAAGGAAAACTTTAGAAATCAAAATTTCAGACTCACCATTTTAAAGGCGCAGCGTGCAGTTGTTTTGTATCCGACCAACATTTTGTTCTCAAGGAAATTTCGGTAGAAATATAGTGATAAATGAAGATGATGGTTGGAAATAAATACTGACCCAGTGTTCTTCAAAAAGTGGACAACGAGGCTACTGCCCCTGAAGTGATATAGCGTGGGAAGAGAGGAGGTTTAGATACAACGATGAAATGTTTGTTTGTTGGGGAGATGGACTACACGTTATGTGTGTAGTCAACATGACGCAAAATCTGAAGACTACACATTGTGGAGGCCCTGGGGCTTTCTTTGTTTGAGTGAATTTTGAGACGTTTTGAAGAAAGAGAAAAAGATGACAAAAGAGTTTGCGATTTTTTAAGTGATTTTTGCAAATTGTCGTCAAATATAGTGTATAGTACAAAAATCGAACGTACAGTAATACGACATTCATTTTTTTTAAAATACGGTCGTTTTTCCATTTTTCAGACATTTTCAGCGGAAACCTGAAATGTCTAGTTGAATAAGAAGAACAAAAATCCGTTGAAAACTACAAAAAGCATATGGTACACAGCTTCAGCAAAAAATATGGGGATAAAACATCACCCATTTATTGAAGTAACGTAAAACCTGTAATTGAAGTGCCCCTAACCTTCGACTTTAAGTCAATTTATCTCGGTGCCTGTCAAAGATATGAAAAAGTTGCCAACTGATAAATTATTAGCAATATAGTGATAAATCATTTATCAGTTGACAACAAATTGATAACTTTGACAGGAACCTAGATAATTGAGCTCAAAGTTGTCAAGATAAAAATGACCATAGACGCTCTAATAGGAGTCCATCCTATTTGTGCATGTTGAGCTTTATTATCTGGGTTCCTAAAAAAGACTTTCAAAGACTTTGAACTAATAAAATATTAGTGATACTGTGATAAACAATTTATTAGTTGACAACTTTTTTTCTATATCTTTCAAGCGAATCGAGATGATTGAGATCAAAGTTATTGGCTATGAAGAACCTGGAATGGTATCTTCTTCATTTAACATAATTTTCCAATATTTTATTTCAATTCTTCTTTTTTTCTACAACTTATAAATAGTTAAATCTAGGTTATACACAAAGTCCAGTATCGGTTTCACAAGTGGTTCCACTGGGACATGACGAACAAGTTGTTCCGGATGTGTAGATGTATTGATTCAAGGTGTTTCCTCTGAAAATCTCAACTTCTTGAATTTACCCTGAACCCTTTAATAAAAGGGCACCGCACAGCCAAGTTTGAGCTCAATTATTTCAATACCTATGCAAGAAATCAAAACGTTTCCACTGATAAAAGAATTCTGATGTTATGATAAACATTTTATCAGTTGACACATCTTTGATATCTTTGCCGGGAACTGGGATAAATTGGCTCAAAGTTAAAACTTAGAGGGTCTTTCTATTACAGATTTTACTGTATACCCTTACCTTGTTTTGTATTGGCAAACAACCAACACTCTATTAGAAGAGCTCTTTGGAAGTGATCCACAATTTTTGATTCCACACCCCAGGAGATTCGTTTTTGCCCATGCCATTTGACTGGCTTGTCCAACAGTCTGCGCCATGGCTTTGTTGAAGATGTTCGATGACCATCCATAGTGTTGGAATTGATTCTCCCATCCGTTCGCAGCGATAAACCCATATTGATCTATATCGGAGATTCCTGTGGAGACGCTGAACATATTGATGTTCTCTCCGATTCCAAAAGTTCCAGAATATGTGAAAACACATTTATCCGCGTGGGCTTGAGCGGTTTCAGCGAGGGTGGGGTCCCAAGTCTGTAAACTTTTTTTTGGAAGTTATTGGGTAGTGCAATTTGGGCTCAATTATCTCGGTAACATCTAACTTTAAGCTAGCCTATAACTTTAAGCAAACTTATCTCGATTCCTGTAAACAATATCAAAAAGTTGTCAACTGACAAATCGGTTATCATATTATCACCCACATTTTATTAGTTGACACGTTTTCGATATCGTGCATAGGAAATGAGATGATTGGAACAATAGAAAACCCCCGCCCTTTTAATAGAGGTTTCAGAGTATTCCGATGGTAAGCTCTAACCAAACTCCTTACCATTTTCAAAATATTACTTCCAGCTGGTTTTGTAGTTCCCTTGGCCACATATGTTCCCTTGGCGATTTTCGAGCGTAACGCATTATGAGCATTCAGAATTGCAGTTTGACCACTGGCCGAGAATTGTGCGGTTACATCTGAAAATACAAAACATAATTTTCAAAGATTTAAAGTTGTAGCTAACCGATGAAGATTACTGTTAGAAAAATGAGAAGTTTCATGGCCAGGCTGGTGAATTCAGAAAGTCAAAGTCCATGTGGTTAGTTTTATACATAACCTTGTTTTGTATGAACAACTGCGTGTTCATGCGGTGCAAAATCTGCTTGGACACATTTTTGTTGAAAATGGAAAACGGAAAATGGAAAAAAATCAAATAGGCCAGAATCTGCAAAAGTGGTTGCAAACTAAACATCTGTTCAAATTATGTTAGTTCTGGGGTCAAATCTTGGATCGAGGATTTCCGGTCAAAACAATATTTATAAAGTTTACACTAGCATGAGTGAAGCGCTGTGGGCTCAAGTTTAGACTGCATAAATTCAAACAATTCACCAGTATACTGGCCAAGTTTCAAATGATTCAATCAACTTTGAGCTCAGTAATCGCTTGTCAAAGTTGCTTCACCTATTGGAAATCATCTTTGAACAACCATAAAAATACCTAGACTTGAGGAATAGCTTTGAAAATTTTACTAGCTTCGAATCAAATGTGAAATTATATTTCTACCAATTTTTGTGCTTTAAGGATACTTATGTCTGAAGATATACCCGTTTTTATCAGTCAGGGTAATTGTGAGCCACCCTGAAACTTCCCAGACAAAAACCCTAGATGCTCCGGGATTGCATAGTTTCCGGAGTATACTGAACTCCATGTGTTTCGATTTAGATTTTGTTTATTCAAAACAACGCTGCTCCACTTCCGTTGATCTTTGCATTTTTCGACAGGGAGCTGATGTAGCTGTATCTGTCAATACGACATACAAAAACGGATTTTCAGAAGATTTTGACCATTTTCAGGAGTCTGGAAATCGGCTACCAAGTTTCCAATCACTTTGAACATTTTGGTAGTTGTAATGCCGCGTTCAAAGTTGATTTCCAGGAGTAATTTCCTGAAAAAAAAAACGCTGTCCAAAGCTGCGATTGTTTTTCAGATTTACAGCAACAGTAAACTACTGTACCACTCGTTTTGACTCTGTTCTTCCTGTTGATTCATGTCGACTTACGGTGGGTCTCAAAGCGGAGGTCTCTGGAAAACAATGGCAGCTTTGGACAGCGTTTTTTTTCAGGAAATTACTCCTGGAAATCAACTTTGAACGCGCCATGAAGCAGACCTAGATTGAAAACTAAGCATTCTCAGAAATTTTGGAAAATCCTTACATTTTCAACTATTTGTCGATTTCTGAAACCCACCTATTTTTGGGCCGTTTTTGTATTAAAAACTTGAAAAACAGATGTCTTTCAGAAATTGGCAAATAGCTGAAAAACTGGGAATAAAAAATAATTTGGTGAAAGTTTTCAATCTAGGTCTATTTTACATCCTCTGAAAATTTCAAAGCGGTAGGAAACTTGACAGCCAAGCTCCAGACTCTTGAAAATGGTGAAAATATCCAAAAATCAACTCAAAATTGCGTTTTTGTATATTTTATTGGCCGGTACTGTAGTTTATATAAAATACTATAATTGGGATCATTCTCATAATAAATAAACGAAGTTGCGTCTCTTTGTATGTTTCTATGTCCGCAAATTTTTGAAAAGCTAAAACTGAGATCGGAAAGAGTGAGGAGCAAACGCACCGAACGAGTGAAAGCTGGGTTAAATCGGAGGCGCGGCAGAGAGGCTGGTATTGATTTAAACCAGTATCATATTTCTCAGAAACAATGTCAACAAGTGGAGATAGTGATGCTAATTACTAGGACTCCTTTCTTGTATTCATTCATTCATCCATTCATTCAAACACTGTCAAAATGAAAAAAGAGCCAACCCAGAAGAGTCAACGTTCTGCTCCTTCTCCAAATTCTCATTCACCCCAAAACGAATGACGACACCAAAATGACCTTCTTTGTCCTCTCTCTTCAAGAAGATCACCACGTGGTGGCACAATAAACGCTCTCTCCAGAAAATGTGTGTTTGCTTTCAAACGGGGTCTCATCAACTGAAGAGGACCCAGGATATATTCGAAATTTGTTCTTTCCACCCCGCCTCTCTTTTCTTTCCCTTCTCTTCCAATTCATTGTGGCGTGTGGAGCCTTTTTATTTCCCGGAAAATGTTCGTCGACATTTATGACCAACTCTATATTTCATATGCATCTGTTGTATCTACTTTGGGTGTACTGTTTAATGCCTTTTTATTGTTTCTCATATTTTTCAAAAGTCCGCCATGCCTGACTCCGTATACTGTATTTCTGGCGAACACTTCTATCACACAGTTGCTGTATTCAATATGTTTTCTGTTAACTGTACCGAGGTTAGTGGAGAAGTTCACTTTGAGTACGGTTATCTCGGTTCCTATGAAAGATATCCAAAACATGTCAACTGATAAAGTATTTATCACAATATCACTAACATTTCATCAGTTGTCACATTTTTGATATCTCCTACTGGAACCGAGATAATTGAGCTTAAAATAAGTTTTCAGGGTGATCTCCATAAATCTTCGAATCGTGAATATCTACCTTGGATTCTCCCAGTTCCTGGGCCACTGGTGGAGCTATATGATATTTGTGACGATGTGTGAGAACCTTCACCTTTTTTGGAATATATCCTTTCAACCAGAATTCTTTCAGTACATTTTGCAGTCAATTCATTTCTATCCATTATGTTATCTATGGTTTTCCGTGCCATCTCCCTAAAAACCCTTCGATTCCCGACTTCTGGAGCATTTACAATGTGTATTCTGGCCTATTTGATTCCGTTTAGTATGGTGGTTTCTATTCGCGATATTGAGATAACCTCGAATTTCACTATCAATAGTAATTATACGTTGTGGCAGTTGGAGAATCTGGATAAGTATCGGACAGTGGTGGGGACAAGTGTGGCGCAGGTAATGTGCACTTTGAGCTCAGTTATCTCTATTCCTATGAGAGATACCAAAAATATGTCAACTGAAAAAAATATTGGTTATGTTATGATAATCAATTTATCAGTTGGCTACTTTTTGACATATTTTGAAGAAATCGAGATAATTAAGTTCAAAGTTCAAGTATAGGGTGGGTTTCTATACGAAGATTCTTCATAAGAAACCAAAACACGCTCATCTGAAAATTCTGAAAACATCTTCTGCACTAGGAACTTCCTTAAAAACCCAATAAACAGGAAACCACTCCGTTTTTAGAGAAGCCCACGCATCATTAATGTTTATTTGGTGTGTAGAGGATGGAGAAGAGAACCAATTTGCTTTATTAGATTCCACATTTTTAGAGGGGATCAGAAGTTCAGAAAACGTCATGGAATGAAAAAAATACGAACTAGGGCTTACAGTACTGGGGTCACAGTATAAGAATACGAGTTAGGGCTCAAGCCAGCTTTGGACGCCTAAAAACTTAGAGCAGATTTTGTTGAAAGATCCTCTAAATTTGCAGGTTTACTAAAAAAAAACTGAGCTTCAATTTTGTAGTTGACACCTTTTTTGCAAATATTAAGCTAGTGGAGATATACCGCTGGAGCAGCCAAGTGCCAAACTATGATAAATAATTTATCAGTTGACATAATTTTGATATCTTTTAAAGGAACCGAGATAAATTAGCTCAAAGTGAGGGGAATGTGGCAATATACTGAACCCAGTTCTCATAGGAACCGAGATAACTGACCTCAAACTTGACAGTGAGGGGGCCCTGAATTTAGGTAGAGTAGGGCTCATTTTACGGTAGGTGAAATTGTACTGTATTTCAAAGGTTCTAGCTCAAAAACAGATAGAGTTATTGAAAACGATAAAACCGCTTAAAGATTTTAAAAGTCTCCATTTTCAGCTCTCCACCCTCTGGGTTGCCTGCTGTGTCAGTCTTCTATGCATTCCCATCTACAGTGTGATGTTCTACTGTAGATATCGAATATTAAAAATGCTGGAACGCCCGGGTTACATGTTCAACACTACCACAACCCTGCAGATCAAACGATTAGTAAAGGTAGTGTTGAAAATTCGCTCTACGGACAACGAGTGTCACCAAATTCTTCCAGGCGCTCACCGTGCAATCTATGATCCCTGTGTTCACGCTGTTTCCGGCGTCTCTCATTTTTCTCTCCACTCAATTTCATGTTATCGAGACGACCAAGTTCGGCTATATCATAATTTCCTTGTTGAGTTTGAGTAAGTTTTGGGCACATTCTTTGTACCATAGGTTATGATCCGTACAGGTGATCAGAACAGGTGATAAGAGAGGGATTCTGAGAATCCATGAGTGATTAAACATTTGTGATTGTTGAAAAAAAAGGAAGATGAATAGACAATGGTACAGGTGATAAGAACAGGTGATAGAAGAGCGTTTAAGAAAGTGTTATTCTAAAAAAGACAGAAGTTTAATAGGATCAAGAACCCGAAGAAGATTTCTGTGAATACAGGTATACGTCACTTCGAGCTTAATTATCTCGGTTCCTATAAGAGATATAAAAATGACAACTGATAAAATATTGATGATTGTATGATGAATAATTTATTAGTTGACAAATTTTTGATATCTCTTACAAGAATCGAGATATTCGAGAACACAGGAAAACCACTGTGGTGGCGTTCTACAGTCGGTCAGTAAGATGCGACTGCATAGCTCAATTATTTTGGTTCCTATGAGAGATATCAGAAAGTGGTCAACTGATAAAATATTGATGATATTATGGTTAATAATTTATGAAGTGGTATTTTTTGATATCTTTTAAAGGAACCAAGATAATTGAGCTCAAAGTGGACATGAAGGGTGGGCTTCTGTTGGAGCAAATACAGTACCTGCACTCTGATTGTGAGATCAATTATCTTGGTTCCTATAGAAAGATATCAATAATCTGTCAACAAATAAAATATTCATCAAAATATCACCAACATTTCATCAGTTGACAAATGTTTGATATGTTATAGATAAACCGCGATAATCTTGCTCAAAGTACTGTGCACTTCATTTGGTACATGTTTAGGGCAAATTGAGGGCATAATTTACAAGGGGTATGTAGAATGAAATTTCGGTCAATTTTGAAATTTTCTGACAATGGGGATATGAAAAAATCGATTCTGATCGGGCCAGAAAATGTTGAATTTCAGAACATTCTCGAAAATTATTTTTTGCTCCATCTTCATCCAAAAATTCACCAGCCCCGTCCTGAATAATTTCTGATTGAATTTAAATCTGCATAGAATCTAGTTTCAATGCTCCTTTGCTCTTTTCCCTGGACCCGCCTACATGTCTTAATTTTAGCTATTTGATCTTTCGCACTCCCATAAAACAACTCTGAGCTGCGTGCAAGAAAAACTAAATTTCCAGAAAAGATCAAATTTCCTTCTTCCAGGTCCCACTATTGATCCCCTGGTCACCATCTACTACGTGCAACCCTATCGAAAATACATTGTCGATTTGCTGTGGTCCGAGGAGCGTCCTCTAATCTCCCCATTCCTTTCGAACAACGACCCCAGATTCTACAGAAGCCGTTCGAATAGTGTTCTGATGATGCGAAACACACATTTCGTCTAGAATACCTTGTACCTTGACCCCTTTAAATCATTTTTTTGCCGTTTTTTGCCTAAAAACAAACGCCTTGCTTCCTTTTCATCTGCTCTCATTTATTTTGAACCTGCAGCGTGACCCATAAAATTTCCTGGGATTTCTGTTTGCTGAAAATTTCATAGAATATTCCTTTGTTTTTGCCCAAGGGCATGGCTTCAATGAACCAATATCCTCGTTTATGCTTTCATTTTTTTATTTCCAATCTGACCGAAAAAATAAAACTAAACTAGTTAGACCAACTCGCGTCATGTCAATATCTATTATATACTTTTTATTTGTCTCGACTCCCAATTTTTAGTAAAATTCTCTGAAAATCATTTTTATAGATTATTGAGACTCGAAATAAATTCTAGTTGCATTTCCATACAAATCACTTTCTTGGCAAACATTTTGAATTATGAGCACATGAATAGAACACGTGGCCTAATTCAATTATTCTATGCAAAACCAGGAATTCTATGAAAAGAGGCATAGAATTCCGGGATATATACATCTAGAACTTGAGTTACGCTAATTCAATCAGACTTATAAACATTTTGGAATGAAAACTTCTGAGGAAATATCCTTTGATTTGAGACCAACTTTTCGGATATTATCACGATAGCCGTTTGAGCTTAATTATCTTGGCTCCTGTAACAGATATCAAAAATTTGTTAACTGATAAAATGCTTATCATAATATCAGAAACGTTTTGTAAGTGAACAACTTTTCGATATCTGTCCTAGGAATTGAGATACCGTAAGCACTCTAATAGAGTGTCCTCCTCCATAACTTTTAACTTTGAGCTTAATTATCTCGATTCCTGTAACAGATATTAAAAATTTGTCAACTGATAAATTATTTATCATATAATCACAAATAGTTTATCAGTTGACAAATTTTTGATATTTCTTACCGAAATTGAGATAATTGAGCTCAAAAAACAGAGTGAGATTTTATCTATTCCATTCTTCAAACATTTCCGAAACGGACCTTGGCGGATCCTGCCATAGCACCCTTTAGAGTCTCTATTTTATGACCAACTAATAAAGCTATAATAGAACTCGTTGAGTACTACAAAATGATACTATTTGGAGTACTGTAGCTCGTCTATGAACAAAGTTGCAAGACCGCAAAGTAGAGACCGCGTTGCTCAGATGGTTTTTGGCTTGTAACTTTGTTCATAGACAAGCTACATTATTCCAATTATTATATTTTTGTAGCACTCGTCTAATTCTATCATATCATATCTAATTCACTTGGTCTGAAAATATTAGACATGAAGGAAGCTAGGGCGAAGTCCGCGAGCGTCCAATGACACATACTGAAATAGTCATCAATTCTTGAAAGATTCTTATTCTTAGAAACATCAGATTTTTCTACTTCTTTCAGAATATAACGCTTCCTCATTTATAAAATAGAGTTTTAACTATTTATTTTCAAAAATCCATTTTTAGAAAAAAAAGTCCATCACAACACAAAAACCGGACGCATTACACTTCCGTATGTTCTCTGCTCCCCTAAATTCTCACCCATGCATGAGCTAATTTTCAGACTAAACCTGAAAAAAGAATCGTATGTCCATCTGGAGATCAGTTGCTGGTGTGCTATCACCGCTTACTTCCGGTTTGTGGTTTTTTTGTTAAGTACCGTAAACACTCTAATAGGAGGCCCCAACTTTGAGCCCAGATATCTTGTTTCCTGGTAAAGATATGAAAAAGTAGTCAATTAATAAACTATTTATGATATTATGAAGAACATTTTATCAGTTGACCACTTTTTGAAATCTTTCGCAGGAACAGAGATATAAAGGTTCAAAGTAGGCGCAATATCGTATATACTAAAAATGAACGCCACCCCAACTTTCAACTTTGAGCCCAGATATCTTGTTTTCTGGGAAAGATATCAAAAGGGTGTCAACTGATAAAATATTTGTGATATTATGAAGGAAATTTTATCAGTTGACCACTTTTTGAAACCTTCTACAGGAACTGAGATTTAAAAGCTCAAAGTTGACGATATCCTATTTTCCAGACACCTACATGAACACCGCGGATAGTATCTTCGTGATTATCGTTACCATTCTCACCCTAATTGGATTTTGCCTAAATTTCCTCTTACTGTACCTAATCATCTGGAAAAGCCCACGCAGTCTAACCCCATATCGTATTTTTCTGGCGAACACCACAATAACCCAATTGTTATTCGCTGTTTTTGCAGTTACCAGTCAGCCAAGGTACGTGGTTTTTCATGAGAAAATAGAATGGATTGAAGTTCAGAGTTCTATCAAAACATCAGTACACAATTGTGATTTATCTCGGTCCCGTGCAGTACTTTGGCTCCTGGTTTAGCTATATGTCCTACGTGGGAATTCGTAAGACACCCTAAACAATTCGTTCAATGATCCCCCAGCCTTTTCAGTTCACCTATCCCTAAACTCTTTCATCTCATTGATGCTCTCCATGGTCTACCGATACTATTCAATCAGATTCCATAAATTCACAGCAAGCACTTCTATAATACTCTGCGTATTAGGATACAGTATCCCTTTTCTGATCTATGCATCTTGCTCAAATGTGCTTGTGGACCAATCGGTAGCAGTTAACAATGAAATTCTGGAAGGATCTGTGAGGAATTTGGAGAATTATAATGTGGTGCTCTCAACGAATATTACTAACCAGTACCCACTTATCATTCTCGTGTTGGCCGTGACCATTGGCTTGATACCAATCTATTTTGTTATGTATTGGTGCCGACATCAGATTCATAAAACTTTGAAGCAGACAAGATCAGTTCATAGTCCATCCACAAGGGATAATGCAAGAAGATTAGTTCATGTAAGTTTTTTAGAGTCCATTTTTCTCGGTTCCTGATCAAGGTATGAAAATTTTGTCAACTAATAAATTGTTTATCATAATATCACCAAAATTTTATCAGTTGTTTACTTTTTCATATTTTCTACAGGAACCGGGATAAGTTGGTTCAAAGTTAAGAACTCTTTCTATCCCAGGTTACCTGTACGGGCATTTTGAGTTTAATTATCTCGGCTCCTATGAGAAATATCAAAAATCTATTAACTGATAAAGTATTGGTGATATTATGATAAACAACTTATCAGTTGACACATTTTTGATATATTGCATAGGGATTCAAAAAATAGGGGTCAAACTTTTGGGTATTCCTTCAAAAAATCACCCTAACCGAGAATCCTCCACCCTGACCAATGAAACAAACCCATTTTGCAGGCTCTGACCATCCAATCCATTATTCCCCTGGTCTCCGTGTTCCCTGCATCATCATTCTGGTGTCTTGCTCAACTGGGAATCGTGGAGCCTACGGCCTACAGCTATTTTATAATTCCATGTCTTTCATTGGGATGCATAGCTGATCCTTTGGTCACTATCCGATGTGTGCTTCCATATAGAAAATGGGTTTTGAAGATGTGTCATCGAACCACCTCGGATACGACATCATCGAATCAGGAGAAAACAACGATTTTTTTGAAACATTGATTTCAATATGAAGAATAAAGTTGAATTATTTGTGGTATCCGTTTATTTGAAAGATTGAAGCACAGAGGTCAGAACCCGTCAAAGAATTGCTGCCATCCAGATCTCTGGATTTAGCCTCAGCGGGGTTGTAATAATTTATTTCTTGAAACAAAAAAAATCTATAATTCGAACTAAATACTCCATCTCTTCAGCACTATCAGAAAACTTTAAAAGGCAGATACTCCGAAACACAGCCCCTCACTCTGCGTTTCTTGATTACCGCACACTCTCTACTAATTTGAAAAAGACTGTCGTCTGTGTACAAGCCTCTCACTCTCGGTCACAAAACATGAATTACACTTTTCGCATTATATAAAACACAAACATCCTTCTATTCTCTCTATTTTCAGTCTACAATGTTCGTGATTTTGTTCTTCACGGTGTTCGCTGTCTATTTGGGCTATGAATTGTATTGGAAGCGTCGGAATCTACCACCTGGTCCATGTCCATTGCCAGTTTTTGGAAATCTATTGTCTATTAATAACCCACCACCTGGATACGCTGCATTTGAAGGATGGACCAAGAAGTATGGAGATGTGTATACCTTTTGGATTGGTGAGTATATTGAAGGCCTTCAATATTCGGATTACTGTAAAATCAAGGCTTCAAAATCGATATTTCGAGAAACGGAAAATTCGGGCATCATTTCGCTGCTATTTCGGATTATCTGTAAAAATTTAGGAAGTTTCGGTCTAGTAGCCACTTCGCTAGGATCGGCGACACGGGAACACACGGACACACACGGACACACACACACACACACACACACACACACACACACACACACACACACACACACACACACACACACACACACACACACACACACACACACACCCACGCAGAATTTGGTGATTGTTAATAGTAAAGTTTGCAGGAAGCAGACCCCATATTATGATCAACACCTACGACAAGGTGAAAGAAACGTTCATTCGAGATGCCGAAACCTACACCAATAAAGTTTGTCTCCCAGCAGTTGACTTCTTCCGTGGTGGAGATCATGGAGTCATCGATTCTAATGGTGCCAAATGGAGGGACCATCGTAGATTCGCTCTAACTAGTTTAAGAGATTTCGGGTTGGGAAAGAACCTGATGCAGGAAAAAATCCTTCTGGAAGTTCAAGATGTCTTTGTCAAATTCGATGCTACTGAAGGACAAGAAACAGAAATCCCACCAGTTTTTGATAACGCTATTGCAAATGTAATCAATCAACTTTTATTTGGTTATCGGTTTGATGAGGTACAAAATATAGGGTTCGCAAAACATATTTTTAAAAATTTTATAGACCAAACAAGACGAGTTCCAAGAGCTCAAACGAATCATTGATGCTCCTCCAGAACTATTCGGAAAGCTCCATATATTCCTGGCTATGAATATTCCAATCCTTGCAAAACTCATGCCGGAATCGTTGTACGAAAAACCGTTTAAGGATTTCCGAGATACTGGTTTTGGATTCTTCCGGGCTCAAGTAGAGAAGCACAGAGAGCAAATAGACTTTGAAGATCTGGATTCTGACAGTTCGGATTATGTAGAGACATATCTGAAGGAGCAGAGGAAGAGACAAAATGAGGGAGATGAGGGAACGTTCAGGTGAGTCTCACTGTGAATTTGTTTGTTCGAAACTGGGGATTAAATATCGCGCTCTTTGACTTGTGCCATCGCTCGAGCTAGCGACCGCGTAGTTCAGCCGGGTAGCGGCGCGACACTTCCAGTGTTGCGTCCATAAGTTTAACTTCCTATGAAGTTTCAAAATGCAAAAAGTTGAAAAACTTTTTTCATGTTTCCAACTTCAAAGTACCGTAATCCACCTGATAGAAATGGTCCATACTCCGAGGGTACATTGAAATAAGGTACATCATGCTCAAGAGGTTCATTGACTCAGAGGGTAAATCGTCTGAAAAGGTACACCTAGGTAATAGATTAGCCTAAAGATTGGTACATCTAGGCTTAGATCGGCCTAGATTAATCCCCTGATAGTAAAGCAACTACCTAGGTGTACCCCTTCAAACGATGTACCCTCTGAGTCAATGTACCCCTTGAGCAGGATGTACCCTCTTCTGATGTACCCCGGAGTATGGGCCGATAGAAATCATATTCCATTACCTAGTTTTTCAGCAATATCCAATTGGAAAACATGCTGATGGATATGTGGTTTGCTGGCCTTGGCACCACTACAAACACCACTACATGGGCATTGAGTTATATTTTGCACTATCCAAAGGTTCAAATGAAGATCCATGAGGAACTGGATAGAGTCGTAGCAAGCGATAGACTTATCACCACCGCTGATAAGAATGACTTGCCGTATATGAACGCTTTTCTCAATGTAAGGTTTTGATCCAAGTTACAGTATGCTAGAATTGCTTTTAGGAAACCCAACGATGTACCAATCTTGTTCCATTGAACATGCAACACGAGACCACCAAGGATACAGTAATCAATGGGTATCATATCCCTAGAGGAACTGGAGTTGTTGCTCAAATTAGTACTATCATGATGGACGAGAAAACATTCCCAGATCATGAATCTTTCAAGCCAGAAAGGTTTATAGATGAGAATGGAAAATTGAAAAAGGTGGAGCAACTTGTTCCATTCTCGGTTGGAAAACGACAATGTCTAGGAGAAGGGCTTGCTAGAATGGAACTATTCCTTTTTATTGCCAACTTTTTGAATCGATACGAGGTAAAATTGGGAATGAAATTTTGAATTTGAAATCGAAAATTTCAGTTATCCCCATCCAAACAAGGGCCACCGTCGTTGGAGAAGAAGTGTGCAACTATGGTCGAGCCAAGAATATTCTCTGGAATTTTGAAGAAGAGAAGATAAGATACATCGGGTTTGTAAATTTGTACATGGAATAAATTGAATTTTTAAAATCATCCTCAATCAGCCCCGTCTGCAAAATATCATTTATACTCGGTCATATTCCAAATCTCGTCAATTAAGATTCCCAGAAGACGCTGGTGATCTTCAATTTTCTCCTTATAATCAATTGTCTCTTCTGCCTTTCCTATGACTCGTACAAAATTGAAGAATAGTTCTGGAGAGTAGACGGCTATGGAGCGATTCAGAAGATCCTAGAAAAAATAAGTAGAAGTTGGATCCAATTGTATAGAGAACCCAGACCCACATCGATCGGTTTTATTTGCTCTTCCTCAATTCCATATCCAGGTAAATTTAGGATAGTCTCTGTGAGGAAAACAGTTATAGTTCCATTGTTCGCTGCCCAGTTTTTCATTCCTTCCTGAAATTTTCTTGTTTTTAAACTGATAGAAAAGTTCAAAACTTACAACAAGTGTTGAATCATTGTTTTTCAGTTTGAACTGAAAAAAATTAAAACGAACATAATACTATTAGGAGACCTACACTAGTCAAAATTTGAGCCAGTGTTAATTGAAGATCACCAAAAGCCCTCAATAGATTTTGGAATATTTCCAGTCTGATGGCTTTAGGGATTATGCCAATGACACAATTTAGTTGGAGTCTGATACCATCAAGTTTCTTACAAACGTCGTTGGAGAGGCGAATTCTGAAATGTGACTCATAATCTGTGGAGAGTTGAAATATATCGGGAAGTTAAGCCGACCGACCGACCGACCGACCAGCCGTCCGACGACTTCATGCCGGAGAGATGACACACTATTCAATAAATCCGTCGTTCGTCGTAAAGGAAATACTGCGTACGCGAAAACTGGCATGCCGACGGGCAAATGCACGGATTTGGTCGGTCGGCTGGGTCAGCAGTCGACCGGCGGTTAACGGTTTCCGACCAACCGAAATGGCTTGTCTCACATGAGACATGAGACATAAAGAAATGGAAAACTTACAAATGTTCTTTCTTCTCTGTGACTTCTGATACACCAAATTCACCATTGTCCAAACTCGCAATCAGATCCAAGAATGAAGCATCAAATGGATCATCCTCTGATATATTTTCTCTTTTTCTTCGCATCTCTTCCAAAATTGGATGGAGTTCTTTATACGAATTTTTAACATCTTGTTCCTGAAAACTAATATACCTCACAGCTTTGAAATGAAGACTCGCCTGTTTTTCAAAAACGTCTCCATGTTTTTTGGTCAAAAATTGTTTGATTGCCTGGATTATTGGCTCACATTCCAAATATTTATTGCGAGCTTCTTCTAGTTCTGCGATGAGTAGCTCCTGAAAATGAAAAAAAAATCCGTTGAAGAAAGAATTCAATTACTCACTCTCTCTGCTAAATCTCTTCTTTCGTTGTTGGCCATTCTTGTACTGAAAATATATCGAACGAGATAAGAATTATAAGATCTATGAAGTAGAAAAAAGTATGTCAAAACTGTTCGAGATACAGTTGGAAGAATAAATGAATCAAAAAATCACTTGAAAACATTTTATTTAATGAGAATTATCTCACGAAACGTTTAACTTGTTCAATTTGTAGGATAAGCTGAACAGAATCCCGTCTTCCGTAACATCGATCCAGCTGAAATGTCAAACTTTACAAAAAACTACAAAAATGAACCACGGACCTCTTGTTGGAACAATATCTCCAAAACCCAATCTAATGATCCAACCCCTCGATGGTGATGATAAGAGTATGGCTGGAAACAAGTTTCCGAGATGAACCATAACTTTGAATCAGTTTACCTTATAAGAATCATTTTTATCAAATTCAATAAAAAAAAGTTGTTCTAATAAGCGTCGAAGTGAGAAAATCTCCACCAGAAGACCTTTCTTGAAAAAAAACAATTATTAAGTACGGTACCGTCAATAAGATTTATACGGGTTACGATGTTTGCCTCCAAAATAAAAGTGACCGCATGCAGTACCGATCAATAACATGCGAAAACTTATTTTTTAGTTGCTTTTTGCACATTTTCAGAAGTCTGGAGCTCGACTGTCAATTTGCTGATCACTTTAAAAATGTTGGAGGGATTAAAACAGACCTGGATTGAAAACTTTGCATTCACCGAATTTTTAGAAAATTCCCAGCTTTTCAGGAATTTGTCAATTTCTGAAAGGCACCCGTTTATGCACTGAACATCTGAAAAAAAGGGGTCCTTCAAGAATCGACAAATAGCTGAAAAACTAGGAGTTTTCAAAAAATCTGTGAATGCAAAGTTTTCAAACTAAGTCTGTTTTAAAAATTCTAACATTTTCAGAGTGATCGGAAACTTGACAGCCGAGCTCCAGACTCCTGAAAATGGTTCAAGTGGCAGAAAATCAACTGAAAAATCATTTTTTGCATACCTTGTTGCCATGTACTGTAGATTCAAATTTGATTTTAAAAACTCACCTCATCACATTGGCCACCGTCGCTGAGCTCATCTTCAATGTGATTTAGAATATTCGACACTTCCTGAGAATGCTTATCAACTCTCGACTTGTTTATGACAAGAGGAAATGTGGTTTGGAGGAAACTAGTTTTTTCCAACACCGGATCGTATTTATTCAACTTCCTCATTGCTGTCCTCATTTGGAAGCTCAGTACATCCGACTCGATTTGAAGATAATGACTGAGAAAAAATGCCAGAGATCCATCTGTTTCCGAGAGTTTCAGAGTAGGGAAACGACGTTTGCAATGAGAGATAACATCATTGCAGAACGTTTCGAGTGTATCTTGAAACTTAATCAAGTCTCCTTCAGGAATGCAAAGATCTCTGAAAAAAGTTGGCAACGTTATTTTATTTTAAAAAATGACAAACAATTGTTCAAACTAGAAATGATTCTGGGAAACAACGCATTTTGTTTAGGGGATTTCAAAATTCCGAAATTCTGAGATTCCGAAATTCTGAGGTTCTGAAATTGTGAGATTCCGAAATTATAAAATTCCGAAATTCTGAAAATATGAGATTCTTAGATTCTGATATTCTGAAATTCTGAAACTCAGAGATTCTGAAATTCTGAGCTTCTGAAGTTCCAAAAATGTGAGATTCTGCGATTCTAAGATTCTGCGATTTTGAGATTCTGAGATTCTGAGATTCTGAGATTTTGAGATTCTGAGATTCTGAGATTCTGAGATTCTGAGATTCTGAGATTCTGAGATTCTGAGATTCTGAGATTCTGAGATTCTGAGATTGAGATTCTAAGAATCTGAGATTCTGAAATTCTGAGAGTCTGAAGTTACGAAATTCTTGAATTCGGAAATTCGGAGAGTCCAAAATTCCAAAATTCTGAAATTCTGAAACTCAGAGATTCTGAAATTCTGAGCTTCTGAAGTTCCAAAAATATGAGATTCTGCGATTCTAAGATTCTGCGATTTTGAGATTCTGAGATTCTGATATTCTGAGATTCTGAGATTCTGAGATTCTGAGATTCTGAAAATCTGAGATTTTGAGATTCTGAGATTCTGAGATTCTGAGGTTACGAAATTCTTGAATTCGGAAATTCGGAGAGTCCAAAATTCCAAAATTCTGAAATTCTGAAACTCAGAGATTCTGAAATTCTGAGCTTCTGAAGTTCCAAAAATGTGAGATTCTGCGATTCTGAGATTCTGAGATTTTGAGATTCTGAGATTCTGAGATTCTGAGATTCTGAGATTCTGAGATTCTGAGATTCTGAGATTGAGATTCTGAAAATCTGAGATTTTGAGATTCTGAGATTCTGAGATTCTGAGGTTACGAAATTCTTGAATTCGGAAATTCGGAGAGTCCAAAATTCCAAAATTCTGAAATTCTGAAACTCAGAGATTCTGAAATTCTGAGCTTCTGAAGTTCCAAAAATGTGAGATTCTGCGATTCTGAGATTCTGCGATTCTGAGATTCTGCGATTCTGCGATTCTAAGATTCTGCGTTCCTGAGATTCTGCGATTCTGAGATTCTGCGATTCTCAGATTCTAAGATTCTGCGATCCTGAGATTCTGCGATTCTGAGATTCTGAGATTCTGAGATTCTGAGATTCTGAGATTCTGAGATTCTGAGATTCTGTGATTCTGAGATTCTGAGATTCTGAGATTCTAAGATTCTGAAATTGAGATTCTGAGATTCTAAGAATCTGAGATTCTGAGATTCTGAGAGTCTGAGATTTTGAGATTCTGAGATTCTGAGATTCTGAAGTTCCGAAATTCTTGAATTCGGAAATTCTGAGAGTCCAAAATTCCAAAATTCTGAAATTCCGAAATTCTGAAATTTCGAAATTCTGAGATTCTGAAATCCTGAGATTTTAAAGCTTTGAAGTTCAGGAATTCCGAAATTCCCTCTAAAAAAATTGTACCCCCAGAATCATTGGTAATTTGTCCGAATTTTTGTACCCACGAATTTTATACCCTCCAATCAGTTGTACCCCCGGTTACCCCCAAATAATTGTACCCCCGAATTTTGTGCCAAAAAAATGATCTCACCTGGAATTCATGGGCTTCACTTCGACAGAATCTTCCTGTCGACGATGAGAGAAATACATTGGTACATTATTCAATTCTATTGTTTTCTTCGATAGTGTGAACAGTAATTCAAAAAAGTGTTCATTATCAGTATCTTCCATCTCATGAAGAATGTTTCGGATATCGATAATAGCATCGCAGTTTTTATTGCATCTGATTCATAAGCTTTACGATAACCAAGATAACCATGTTTCTGGTTGAGCAGTTCCAATTCACTGCGAACTTTTTCGACAGTTGCCTGTGATTTAGTATTGAATGAACTATTAGTACAATCAAATCCTTACCGTAATTTTACTGAATGAAAAGTTTATGTTCTTCGAGTGATTTCTCTTTCCCAAAATGCCACTGTTATTAACAACTTCATAGACTATCTCATCCAATTCGCGAACGACTCTATTAAGAGACATTTGCTGCTGCCAATCCATGCAACTGAACAAATTCACTCGAGGAGCAACCAATGTAAGATTTTCTTTGAAATCATTGTATTCTGAGATTCCAGCTTGTGCTTGTGCTGTCGTTGTCCCACCAAGTTCTGGCGAATTGTTATCAAATTCCAAACTTGCAACCGGTTTAGCCTGTTGCTGGATAGCAGACAATTGAGCTTGTAGTCTTTGGTTTCTTAGAAGTTCATCCATTAGTGTATTCCCATCGTGTTCTTCGTTCTCGCCTTGTGACAAAAGGCTACTTGATATGTTTGATTTACTGTTCTGAAAACACCATGGTTTTGAAGTAATGCTAGATTTATAGGGTTATTCAGTGAGCAGAAAATCATCGAATTTCTGATTTTTTTTTTCTTATGCAGAGGGGAAGAAAAACCAGCAATTTGCTTGGGCCGCGCAGTCTACCGTAAAACCTCTATTAGAAGATGGCCTAGAAAGGCTAGCAAACCTAGAAAACTTCAGCAATTTTGATCGTTGCGGGGCCAGCATATTGCTGGTTTACTTCTCACTGAACAACCCCATTAGTGTCCACTTTTAAACTTTGAAACATTAATTTTGAAACTCACTCCCATGTTTGTCCTCTGCAGAAGAAAATTTCAGAATTTTCAGCGAATAGGACTGCAAAAACGGTGGGTAAAAAGACCGAAACAAATGGCTGCTGGTCACTACTTCTATTGCTAAGTTTAAATGATATAGTTCAGCGAAGTGAGAGATTTAGGGAGAAGGGAAAGAGGAGAAGGCAACATTCAAAGTGATGAATGTGTTGGTGATCCGAGAAAGAAGAGAAGAGAAGAAAATATACCATGTGGTGTATAACAGACTTGCAAAGACTACAAAATCTAAGCACCCGAAAATGCATGGATGTATTACAGACCAGAAAGATCGAAGTACCAAAATATCAGCCCAATATATTATGGGTTAAATTTCATAACTTTTTTTTTCAGATACACGCTCTCCCACAGAACATTTCCGAACTGCAAATTAATTTTTGATCTACAGAAAAAAAGTTTGGCGCGATCACAATTGCAGGTCTAAAACCATAATTTCAGAATTTTTCATCTGATTTTGTGGAGTTCCAAGATGATTCAAATGATTCTTAAAAATTAATTAGTGGTTATAGATTCATGTATGGTCCTTTTCCGGAAGAAAAAATGTTAAAAATGGTAATTTTTGAAAGTTTTTTACAGAAAAAATCTATCTCCTCTTTCAGTTTTTGACATTTTTAGGAGTTATATAGCTCAAAAAAACCGCAGTTATTTTCTCTACATTTTCTATGGATGAATTTTTAATTTGTCTGATAAAACTTTTTTTATAATTCAAAAACCTCATGAAATTGCACAAAATCGCATTTTTGCGTTGTTTTTTGATTATAAAAAAAGTTTTATCAGGCGAATTGAAAATTCATCCATAGAAAATGTAGAGAAAATAATTGCGGTTTTTTTGAGCTATAGAACTCCTAGGAATGTCAAAAACTGAAACAGGAGATAGATTTTTCTGTAAAAAACTTTCAAAAATGACCATTTTTGACATTTTTTCTTCCGGAAAAGGACCATACATGAATCTATAACCACTAATTAATTTTTTAAGAATCATTTGAATCATCTTGGAACTCCACAAAATCAGATAAAAAATTCTGAAATTATGGTTTTAGACCTGCAATTGTGATCGCGCCAAACTTTTTTTCTGTAGATCAAAAATTAATTTGCAGTTCGGAATTGTTCTGTGGGAGAGCGTGAGATATCCCATCTAGAGCCCCGTCGTCATTTTTTTCAACACGAGTCGGTCTGCAACCGTGAATAGGGATTTTTGTCATTTTTTCATGTTTTTTGTTTCAAACGAATCTTCAAGATTTCTTTTTTTTTCTACCTGCAAATGTGAAGCTTATTAGAATTTTTTCGACAATTTTTTTTTCAAATGTTTGTTTATCAGTGTAGATCAAAAACCATTCAGTTTTCAATCAAGTGACGCGGGCGAAATTTTGTTTTGAAAATATGAAAATGAGTCACCGGAAATTATTTTGTTTTGGCTTTTTCGAATTTCGGATTTTTTTTCTTTGGTTCTTGTCATTTATCATAACCATTTTTTTCTGAAATCTGTGAAAGTGTTCCATTGTATTTGACCTAATAGAAGTTTACTCACTTTGAGCCTATTTATCTGGTTTTCAGTGAAAGATATCAAACAGTTGTCAACTGATAAATTTTTAGCATAATATAACAAACACTTAATCAGTTGACTAATTTGTAATATCTCTCATAGGAACCAAGATAATTCAGCTAAAAGTTGGTAGTGCGGGAACCTTTCTGTTGCAGGTTTCATGGTAACTGCCACGTTGGGCCCTTATATCTCATTTCCTGTAAAAGATATCAAAAATATATCAACTGGTAAAATTCTTATCATAATATCAGAAATATTTTGTTAGTTGACAGATTTTTGATATCTCTCATAGGAACCAAGATAATTGAGCTCAAACTTGACCATGTTAAGGTGCTTCTATTACAGGTTTAATGATAAGTGTCAACTTTAAGCCCGTACATCTCATTTCCTGTAAAAGATATCAAAAAGCGGTCAACTGATAAACTGTTTAGCATGATATCATCAAAATTTCATCAGTTGACAAATTTTTGATATCTTTCATAGGAATTAAGATAATTAGGCTCAAACTTTACGAAGTAGGCGTTAATCTATTACATGTTTTTATGATAAGTGCCAACTTTGAGCCCTTATATCTTATTTCTTGTAACAGATATTAAAAATTAGTCCACTGATAAAATGTTTATCATAATATCAGAAATATTTTGTCAGTTAACTAATCTTCCATATGTCTTATACGAACCGAGATAACCTTGATTTACTTTAAACTTCTTTCAGAAATGTCGTTTCTCACAAAACCGTCTCTTCCGTCGAACTGTGCAATTTTTCGAGCATATCTGCCAGAAGAGCACTGGGGCATGATATTCTATATCGATGGAGAGCCAACTGGAGAAACCACCGATCCCATTCTCAATTACTATTACGGAGGAGTGGGACCACTGTTCAAACAAGTCGAAAACTTTCGAAACTTTCCCGGAAATCTGAACAAGTTTCTCACCGAACTCTCCACGCCATATCCAGTGGTAATCGACAATTAAACAAAGGAATTTTCTACCTAAATTGTATTTTCAGATCCCTCCTAACATCTACACCAGCTTGAAGAATGATCAATACATTTTCAAACAAGACCTCTTATCACAAATGCAACAAAAGGCTTACTCCAAATTTCTCACAGATGACACAAAAAATCTGCCGGTTCAGAAAGTGGTGGCGATCTATTTGAGAACTAAAGAACTAGAGTTGAATGGATTGTTCGAGTTGATACGGTATGATGCGGAGAAGTTCGAGGCTTTCCGAAAGAATGTGGATAGAAGAGTTCTCAATCTTCTACATCTTCCGAGAACCAACAAGTTGAAGAAGAAAACGTTTGAAGAATTCTTTGGAATTATCAAAAAGATGATGCCAGTCAACAAGTATGATCCACAATTCACCCAGCTTCGTGACCATCTTCAGTTTGTCCACAAGAAATCTCCAGTGGCTCAGAACAAACAGCTCTATGAGCATCTTATCAACGTAATCACCATTATCACTAGCGAATTTGACGCGTTTATAAACGCCAACAAGTTCTGGTTTCTTCCATGTGCAGCTGATGTTGAGACCCCACCAACTCCTATCATCCGCCTGTTCAATGAAGACGCGACCAATAAGAAGAGATTCATGATCGGAGCTGAAATTTTGTACGAAATGCGACGGTGTGGAATGAATCCGTTGCCAGTCGAGGAGGCGCTTCGCAATAAGCCGCCAATGGAAACTATGCAATATCGAGATTTGCTGACACTCATTGGAGCAGCTGAGATGGGCAAAATTACGGTTAGTGGTTGGACTGTTCCTCATAAATTGGCAAGGTGCTTAGAAAAAACCTGACAAGAGCTTGGTGATCTTGGAATCCTGGGATCTTGGGATCTTGGAATCTTGGAATCTTGGAATCTTGGAATCTTGGAATCTTGGGATCTTGGAATCTTGGAATCTTTGAATCTCAGCATCTCTGAATTCCAGCACTTCAGAATCTAAGAATCTCAGAATCTCGGAATCTCAGAATCTCAGAATCTCAGAATCTCAGAATCTCAGAAACTCAGAATCGCAGAATCTCACATTTTTGGAACTTCAGAAGCTCAGAATTTCAGAATCTCAGATTCTGAGAATTTCAGATTCAGAATCTCAGAATCTTAGAATTTTAGAATCTCTTCGAATTTTGGAATTTTAGAATCGTAGAACTTCAGAATTTCAAAGTCTCGGAATCTCAGAATCCCTGAGTCTCCGAGTCTCAGCATTTTAGAATGTACATATTCTTTCAGTTCGTCCTAACTCCAATCATCCGAACCCAGAAGAGGGGCATCTGGATTCCAGCTGGATCTAGCTACTGTATGTATGCTCTTGATGTCATTTACGAGATCATTGATTGGGTCGTTTTCAAGGGAATTTTCATTGGAGTCAGTCGAGAAAAACGAGACAAAATTATTGAAATATTGGAAAGTCTCAAATATGTTCTGGACGATTTTGATGTGAGTTTTTTTTGACTAACGCTTCCATTTCGACCACCCACCCAGCCGACCGAACCCGTGCATTTGTGCGTCAAGTTTTTGCTTACACAGTTCACAAAGTAAAAAATGCATAGTTGCCTACGCAAACACTACATGGAATTTTGTCAAAAAAAAACGCACGTATTCGGCCGGCTAAGTCAACGGTCGGTCGATCGGCTAAACTTCTCGACCGATTGGAAGCCTTATTTTTGACTTTTAGAATTGAAAAAAAATTCTATAATATTTTTTTCAGAAGGGAATTCGTCTGCTTCTCGAGGTGGATATTCGTAGAATCAATGAGGAGCTGACAAAGACGATGAGAGAGAACGACATCACGATTCCAGCAGTTCAAAGACAAATTCGACCGCAAATTCTGGAAAACTTCACAACGGAAACACTGAAAGACGAATTGCTCTGGCTTGGCATTGCTGAACAATTCCCAGAAATTCTCGATCTTTCGTATAACCTGTTTGAAAATAGAAAATACTGTGCCATAGAAGACCCGAATATTTGTGGAATGGTGGAAAGCGTTCAGGTCCTTTGTATCATCAATCGACTATTCGTAAGTTTTGAAAAGATTTCCAAATGATTATTTTCATTTTGCAGTTCCATGAATATTTCGACCAGTCGTGGTACGTCCGTTCTTAAGAACTTGTTCCAATTGACTGCTACCAACCCAATGATGCTTCAAAGATTCAATTTTTATTATTGTTTGTGATTTTTGTCAAATGAATGAAGTAAGAGCCAGTTCTTTTCAAATAGCTGTTGCTTGGTCGGACCGTAAAAATCGACTGGCCAATTCGTGCTCAAATGTGGCACGAGGCTTCAAAATTTCGATAGAAAATACATACTTATTAGCCCCTGTGTTTCAGTGAGCACAAGAAGAAAAGCTCAAAAATAAGACAAAACCTCTATCAGAAGGGCTCCTTTTACCCTCTAACAAAAGGGCCCTTCGGAGTTATATTGGAACAACAAAGTGCCGATACTTCTTATACAGGTTCTACGGTATTTTGAAAATTATATTTTTGGAGAATTCTACGCCTTCATATTTATGAAAATTTGAAGCTGACTGGCCACAAGTCAAACTGTCCCGAATTGGAACTCTGTTAGCAACAGAGCGCGCTTGCATTACCTTTGAAAATTTCAAGTTTTCTCCAGAAAAATATCATTTTTACAACAAAAAAAAAACGTTTTTATTTGAATACAGTGAGGAAAAAAACAATTTGAAAATAGGAAATATGTGTTAAAAAAGAAAGAATTCATGACTTTTAAACAGAATGGGCGTCGGAGATGGTGTCTAATAAATTGAGACCAGTCAAAGGCATAATTGGCGGGATTGGCTAATTTATTAGCGTCTTGGTGATGACAAAAATAATTTTAAAAAAGCAAGCGCGCCCTGTTGCTAACAGAGTTTCAATCCGGGACAGTTCGACACCGCATAGTTCGAATTCGTAGCAGTTCGATTCTGTTCTTGTTCTGTTCTGGGCGTGTTCGAAAAATGGACAGTTCTAATTCGAACGAGTTCGATTTCGGGACAGTTCGATTTCGGGAAAGTTCGAATTCATCGTACCCTCAGATTATGAAATGGCGCATGAGATTTTTGTGAGAAACGGGAAAAAGTGTGTGGACCGACAATTGGCGCCAGTTTTTAAGCATATTTCAGGTTTGAAGTAGTTAGAAATCAATAGTTGAATAGTTTCAAGAATGCGCAAAACCGCCAAAATGTGTCTGAAAGGTTTCTTGATTTTTTTCTATGTCTTGACACAATTTCGGTGCTTAGGAACATTAATGAAACTTTTGCAAGGCACAGAAAATGTGCCAAGGCACCAAGTATCCAAAACTGTAAGACCAATAACTAGAAATATAATTCCTTGGGGTTCAGTAGATTTATTAGTTCAAGAGTTTGTATTTCACAGTTGCTATAGTGCAACAAGAAGATGAAGAAGAAAGATAAAATATATCAAAACAACTGCTATTTATACTCGTTCCTCTTTCCGCTCCTCCTTGCAACAGTTGTCCTTATCCAATTCCTCCACTCTTTCCATGATCCTATCCTTCCTATGTATCTTCTTGCCACTTGCTCTCCTAACATACTTCACACCTTAGCTCTGCTCCTCTTCATGCATGTATCCTCCTGACGTACTTTACATCTTAGCTCGGCTCCTTATTATAACGCCCTCGGATTGACCTCGACAGTTGCTCGTCGGTCACGACAAACGCGCTAATCAAGAAACCAAGGGCGCATTATTGGTGACTTGACTCATTTCTAGTGCCTTGACGCATTTCTAGTGACTTGACAGGTTTTTAGTGACTTGACGTATTTCTAGTGCATTGACGCAGTTCTAGTAACTTGACCCTTTTCTGGTGCTTCGACGCATTTCTGGTGCCTCCTACTGGCTTGACTTTCTCGTTCCGTGACGCAATTTTCAAAACTTGACGCATATTTCGTGCCTTGTCCCATTTCCAGAGATGAGACACATTTCCATTGCCTTGACTCATTTCCCGTGCCTTGACGCATAACTGGTGCCTTTACTCATTTTTCGGACTTGACTCATTTCTAGTGCATTGACGCATATCTAGTGACTTGACGCATTTCAACTAACTTGGCGCATTTCCAGAGATGAGACACATTTCCATTGGCTTAACTCATTTCCCATGCCTTGACGCATAACTGGTGTCTTAACTGATATCTACTGACTTGACAAATTTCTAGTGTCCTGGCGCATATTCAGTGGCTTGACGTATTTCAACTAACTTGGCGCATTTCCAGAGATGAGACACATTTCCATTGGCTTAACTTATTTCCCGTGCCTTGACGCATAACTGGTGCCTTAACTGATATCTACTGACTTGGCCCATTTCTAGTGTCCTGGCGCATATTCAGTGGCTTGACGTATTTTTGACGCCTTGACACATTTCTACGGACTTGACGCATATCTGGTTGCTTGACGCACGTTTCGTGCCTTGGCGCATATTTAGTGCCTTGGCGCACTTCTAGTGACGTATTTTCAGGTGGTCTCGGTCTCTTAACGGCGAATGGAGAAAACTGGGCAGAAATGAGGCGATTCACTCTGCTCTCATTTCGAAAAATGGGCGTTGGAAGTGGTCTAATGGATAAGAGAATTATGGCGGAGCTTGATGGAAGGTGATTTATTTTTGAATGATAATTTTTTTCTGAAATTTCTATATCAAACATTTATCTTTTTTTAATACTCTCTAGTTTCCAGATGTTCCGAGCTCGACGCTGAGATTGAGAAAAAAAAAAAAAAAAAACATCCAGATAAATTATGTGATTGATAGTTCCAATTTCCAATTGTTGAATAATTGGTTTATTGAAAATGCTTAGAAGATGAGCTAGCCAATCGCTTTGACTTCTTTCTTCCGAGTCTTGTTTCCTCCAAGATTCGATTCCATGAATATGGCTTATTTCAATGTAAGTATGAAAGAACCGAAACGAAATTAGTGTATCCTCCTGTTGTACATTTTTCGCCACCATACACAATCTAATTCCATGCTGATTCAGATAAACAGACGCCTGGGCGACTTTTCTTTTCGAGTATTGCACGAGGTTTCTGTTTCTTTACGATGAGCGACAGACTGCAAGAAAGAAATGAATGAGAGAAGGATCGGCAGAACGGACAAAAAATCAATAAAACGGACAAACGGCGGTTAGAGAGCGGCTAGAAGTCAGAATTAACAATGTATGGTAGACAGGAAGAAATCGTAGGTGAATGGCAAAATAAGAATGCAAAGGAGAGAAGAAGAATTCGCCCAAACCTTCTTTCTTTCTTAATCATCAAAATTTCAAAATCCAATTTTCCGAAATTCTCTCCTCTCCATTTTTCTTGAAAATCTCCGTGATTTCCATCGCGAATCGTCGATTTTCAGCCAAATTGTGTTTCTTCATTATCTTCATTATTCCATTTTTCCAGAAAAATCAAAATCAGCGATCCATCAGAATTACTCGAATTTTCAAAAACTTCCAAAATCCCAAAATTCTCAATTTTCACAATTTTAATCTTCCGTTTTTTGTACTGAATTCTGACTCTATTCTCAGGAGTCGTTGGTGATTCTAGAAGAGTTGCCACGTCACGAAGTGTTATCAGAATTCCAAATTTCTGGGATTTTCCAAATATTCCAAAATTTGTGGGCCCAAATTTTCCGAATTTTCCAGGAATTTCAATTTTTGAGAAATTTTTTGAAAATCAAAGAATTCGTTGTTGTCCTTCTCATCTTCAGAAGACGTCCCAGAGTGTCCAGAATGCTCTCAAATTCCAGAATCCTCATCTATCTTCGGTTTTTCAGCATTTTCAGCCAATTTTATCGAAATTTTTGCTCCAACAATTGCACAAAATCCTCCAAAAGTTAGTCCAACTGGAACGGTCATCAAGATTCCTGGCATCGCTGAGAAAATCGTTGTCGAGATGAAGGCGTTGGCTAGATTTTGACGCTGAAAATGAAAATTTCATAAATTTTGAAAAAAAAATCTGAAAACCCGGCTTAAACATCAAGCAGTTAGAGGGAAATCTAGAATTTCAGCTATGTTATCAGTGGAGCGCGTTTTCAACCCTTTTGAGTTTTTCAAGTACAATGAAGTAACTGTATCCTAAAAGCACATAAAATTTCCTACATATTAGTATAAAAATTACAGAAAACCATAAAAGTTATAAAATTTTGAAATTTTTGAAAAAATCGAAAAAATGGAATTTTTTTTTCAATTTTGCACATTGGAGCGAATTTTTTGAATCGGGGATTTTTCGGCAATGTTTTGGCTCTGAAAATCAAAATTTCTTCAAAATTCACAAAAATTGAAGCTTATAATTTGAAAAATCGGATGAAAACTTATCAAGTTAGAGGGAAATCTAGATTTTCAGCTATGTTATCAGTGGAGCGCGTTTTCAACATTTTTGAGTTTTTCAGATACAATGAAGCTAATGTATTCTGAGAGTACTTAAAACATCCTACATTGTAGTATAAAAATCATGAAAATCGGTTGAAAAAGAAAATAGTTATCGTGAAACCTGTAATAGAAGGGCTCCCCACACTGTCAAGTTTGAGCTCAATCATCTCGGCTCCTATGAGAGATATCAAAAATGTGTCAACTGATAAGATTTGTATATATTATGATAAACAATTTATCAGTTAAAAACTTTTTTATATCTTTATCAGTAACCGAGATAAATTGGCTCAAAAACTAGGGGCCATTCTATTACAGGTTTTACTCACAATTTGTTCTTGAAAAACTGCACGGATTCAAATTGTTGACATTCATGAATCTGATCATTTTTGAATTCATTATTCTTTTTGAATTTTTGAATTTTGATTTCCAGAGATTTTTGTGTCCGAAGTTATTGGAAAAAATTGGAAAAACCTGGAAAATGAGTAGAAATAGAGCTAAAAAACCTTGAAAAAACAGAGAAAAAATGAGGAAAAAATTCAGAAAATCAACAAATCAGAAGAAAAATTGGCGCAAAAAAATTTTTTTTCGAAAAATTGTAGATCAAAAATTTCAAAAAAAAATTTCCCCAATTTTTCACTAAATTTTCGAAATCTCGATTTCTTACAATTTTGAATGTATTTTATAAAAAATGTTAATTTCATAAAGTAATTGAATTATGTTAGTTTTCAAAAATGTCGAAAAAAATTTTTGAAAAAAAATTAAAAAAATTTCAGTCCTCCGATATCCAAATGTCAGCAGTGGATTTTTCAGTTTTCAATTCCAAAATGGATGGTCCCTCTTGATCTTCTTCTTCTTGATTTTTTGGGTTCTAAAATATTTTTTTTTTTGAATCAAAAAATTGAAATTTTTCGATTTTTGACAAAATTTGAAACTCTTATAATTTTCCGTAAAACCTGTAATAGATGGGCTCCACACTGTCAAGTTTGAGCTCAATTATCTGGGCTCCTATGAGAGATATCAATAATGTGTCAACTGATAAAATGTATAGGATATTATGATAAACAATTTATCAGTTGACATATGTTTTATATCTTCATCAGGAACCAAGATAAATTGGCTCAATGTTGAAAATTAGGGGGCCCTTCTATTACAGGTTTTACGGTTCTCGGTTTTCAACAACCAATTTTCATCATTTTTAGAATGAAGTTTATGAATTCAAAAAATGAAAAATTCAATAACTTCATTGAAAATTTTTGAAAAATCTATAAAATGCACGCCTGTCAAAAAATTTGAAATTCGACCGATTTGAATTTTAACCAAAACCAGGTAACGACCTAAAAACTCTAAGTCATGACCTAAAAAATCTAGGCCATGGCCTAAAAAATCGAAAAATGGACTTTTTTCAAAAATTTCAAAAATTCATAACTTTTTTAGTTTTCAACCGATTTTTATGATTTTTACACCAAAATATAGACAATTTTCAGCTTATTTTTTAAATTAAAACTCAATATCCCCACCTTAATTTTTTCCGCCTTCTTCATCCTTTCCATCTGCTCATTTCTCATTTTTTCCAATTGTTGAGTGTTTGGAGTTTTCATGGGCAAGAGTTTGTATTTGCAAAATACAAAATCGATTTTTTCTTTCTGAAAATTTTGGAAATTTGTGAAAAATTGGAAAAAAGTGGCAGAAATTGCCAAATATGCACCAAAATGCCAAAATGCGTTTTTGATCATTTTTGGTCATTTTTGAAATGTTTTTATAATCAAAAAGTAAAAATTACCTTGAAAAGATAAGTTTCCTCTGTCTTTAGCCGTTCTTGTAGATGGATTTCTTGATTTGGTGGAATTATGAAAGTTTGAAAATTTTGAAAAAAAAAATTTTTTTTGAAAATTTTAAATTTTCAGATTTTCAAAAAATTGAAATTTCAATTTTTTTCCCACGGGTTCTATTAATTTGGACCTTAAGGCTTTACTTCTAAAAAGTACATGTGTCTGCTGATTGGTCCGTGGGAATCTCAGAGCTTTTTAAAGCCTGGAAGGTGTGAGAAAATCCGAAAATTTTAATTTTTTCAAAAATTTATAACTTTTTTAGTTTTCAACCGATTTTTGCGATTTTTATACCAAAATATAGAGAATTTCGTGTTCTTTTGATCTATAATTTACCGTCTTAGTGATTCCTCTTTCTTCTCTCCACCAGCAACAATTCCTGGAGCAGCTGCTGTGACAGTTAGATGCTTCAACGCATTCATTGCCATTTTCAAGGCTTGTTGTTGGTCAGCGTTGTTGCTCATTTATCTGGGTTACTGTAAGAGATATGAAAAAGTTGTCAACTGATAAAATGTTGATGATGTTATGATGAACATTTTATCAGTTGACCATTTTCAAATATCTTTTATAGGAAATGATATAATTATGCTTAAAGATAAGAAAAATTTGGAATTTAAAAAAAAGTGCTTCACATATGTGTACATGTTTTCAACTAACTTTTTCTGCTTGATGAAAACTTGGCAGAAATGATTTTTCCCACGATGAACACGAGATTTTTTTCCTATGCTTCTTGAAAACTCTAAAAAAATTTAAGCTCCGCCCATTTTCAAAAACCTTGATTCCTATGAGGTTCCAGAAAACAAAATCGACGGAGAATTGGGATATAGACTGCGTCAGATTAAAAGTGATGTGACCTAATCCAATTCTTGAATCATTCTCCTCCTTTTGTGTTCTTGACGACCTTTCCCGGAGGTGCACTCAGTAGGTGGAGTTTCCTTGGAGCACATTTGCACTGTCCCATGTGATCAAGGTCATTTGTGTCCGTGACTCCCCCAACGCGTCTTCCAATACACTATTTATTCACCTATCGTTCACTTGTCTATCCACAGAAGAATTATGTATCCTGTTATTGATTTTTCATCTAAAATTTAATGTTCAGTTCTGGAATTTCGTTTCTCAAAGAAGTTTTTCCCATGAGAACACTAGTCAACATTCTTGATTCATTTCATCTTTTTTCAGATTTCCATTGATGCCTATCCGTCTTCTTTCCCTTCCCACCAAAGATTTTCAATACACTCTAAACTGTATGAATGATGGCGATTTGTAAGTTCATTCCTTCAATATTGTGAAATTTTTCACAAGAAAGATTCTCACTAAGAAAAAGATTTATTAGGAAATTTTATCACTAAGAATGATGTTTGTTGGGAAAGATTCTTATTAAGAAAGATCCTTATTAAGAAAGTTTCTTACTAATGATGATTTTTATCCAGCAAGATCTTTATTAAGAAAAAATTTACTAATAGTAAGAAGGCTTCTCACTAAGAAAAATCCTTATCGAAACAAATCCTTATTAAAAAAGATCCTTATTTAAAAAATCTCTATTAAGAAACATCGTAATTGACAAATATTATTATTATTGAGAAATATCCTTTTTAAGAAAGATTCTCACTAAGAAATTTCTTTATTAAGAAATATCCTTATTGAGCAAAATCCTTACGATTATTATTAAGAAAGATTCTCACTGAGAAAGAGCCCTATTACAAAAGTTTCTTACTAAGAAAGATCCCTATTAAGATTATTATTGAGAGATTGGTTTTTTTGCAGAATAGCCTTCTCATTATGCTCCAAACATTCCAAAAATCTCACAAAATCATTGAATCGAAAAAATTGGAAAACCCGCGCCCGTGTCTTCGAAGATAGTGTACAACTTGATCTAATCGTATGCCGCTATGAAGAAGTTCAAAATCAAGACGAAAATGAGATTTATATCTCGCTCGACACAAGCTCCAGAATCGAACCGTACCGTGATTGCGGAGTGGCTACGGAAATGAACCGTTGGAGGAAACCAGAATTCACTGGGACCCACTGGCTTGCTCATTTTTTGAGCATCTTTAATGAATCAATGGTTCCGGTTCTAAAGATCACTAGGGAATGCAAAATGGCTTTTCTGAATACGTTTATCTTCCCAAAGTGTCCAATTCTTCGATTCGAAAGAGAATGCACAAATGAGCTCATCGAACAATGTGTTTCGAAGTTATCAGCAGAGCATGTGAAAGTTGAAAATATCTCCATTGACATTTCCAAAATTTTGTCGCTTAATTTGAAATCGCTGAGCTTGAAGACAGGTTGATTACCGCGAAAACCGATTCGAACTGAAATTGGAAGATTTATTGGCTCTTAACATTGTCAAGTTGAGAATTCACCTTGCAAGTATTACTGTAAGAGACCTAAATCGATTTTTGAAGTTGTGGATGATGAGCAATCATCGATTTTATCGCCCCAAATCGATTCAATTAAATTTAATGGAACGAATCAGTGGGGACCGAATTTTAAAGGGAATCAGATACGAGATTTTGGATGGTCCACGTTATGGATTTCTTTACCGATTGAAGCGGGCTGATGAAAAGGAGCTCGAGGTTTCGATTCGACTCGGACGCGACGGTTATGGAGTGGATTTCGATCACTCGATTGAGATCATTTTTCAATTTCTATAATTTGTGAATTGTTTATGAATGTTGACAATTTCTTGTTGGTCCCATGTTCAAAAAAATGGTTTCCAAATTTTTTCTCAAACTTTGTTTCTGTTACAACTTCCCTTGACCTGAAGATTGCGAAATTTCGGAATATCATTCAAAATTGAGAGACGCAGAGAAAAATAAGAAAGACAAGAGAGACGAAAACATTTCCTTATCTTTTTTATTTCTTGCTAATGATAGAAATTGTGTTCTTAATTTTCTCAACGTTCGACATAAGAGACACTAAACAAATGAAGAAAATGAGAAAGAGTTAGGGATGAGCAATTATTTCCTCTTCCAAAAATTTCTCATATTTTCTTTTTAAACCATTTTCTCTGAATTTTCTAAAAAATTAGATTTCTTGATTTTTTTTGAATTTTTACGGATTTTTGAGTTCCTTGAAAGTTACGAATTTCAGAATTTACGAATTTCAGAACTTACGAATTTCAGAATATTGGAATTTTCGATATTTCTGAATTTCTGAATTCATGAATTTCGGAATTTCTGAATTTCTGGAATTTCTGAATTTCTGAATTTCTGAATTTTCGGAATTTCTGAATTTTTGAATTTTTGAATTTCTGATTTAATGAATTTTGGAATTTCTGAATTTCTGAATTTCTGAATTTCTGAATTTCTGAATTTCTGAATTTCTGAATTTCTGAATTTCTGAATTTCTGAATTTCGGAATTTCTGAATTTCTGAATTTCTGAATTTTTGAATTTCTGAATTTCTGAATTTCTGAATTTCTGAATTTCGGAATTTCTGAATTTCTGAATTTCTGAATTTCTGAATTTCTGGAAGTTCTGAATTTATGAATTTCTGGAATTTCTGAATTTCTGAATTTCTGAATTTCTGAATTTTCGGAATTTCTGAGTTTCTGAATTTCTGAATTTGAAACCCTTCAAATTTATCCATTTTTGGCCAATTCTCTTGAATTTTGTCTCATTTTTTCCCGTTTTTCAGAACTTTCAAATTTCAGTCATTTCCAGCAAAATGAAAAACTACGAAGCGTGTGAAACGGAAAATAAATCAGTTGCCTGTGAGGTTCCAGGCGACAAAATCGACGGTGGAGTGATTTGCGGGAATTCAAATTTTGAAATTGATGAAGGAATAAATTCATCGGCGAATTTCGCAATTTTGGATGTTTCCCATAGAGATCATGAGCATTCGAAACGGCTGGCAGTGGCAAATTTTGGCGCCAAATTGAATTTTTCGAAAAATGATGGAGTGGATGTTGGAATTGATGCGGACTTGGTTAGATATGCATACGAGGGAGAGAATTTCAAGGTTTGTCCATTCGAAAATTCAGAAAATCAGGAATTCAAAAATTCTAGAAAATTCCAGAAAAATCTAAAAAATTCTAGAAAGTTCCAGGAAATTCCAGAAAACTTCAGAAAATTCCAGAAAATTTCAGAAAAATCTAGAAAATTCCAGAAAAATTTAGAAATTCCAGAAAAATTCTAGAAAAAATTAGAAATTCCAGAACATTCCAAAAAATTCCAGAAAATTCCAGAAAAATCTAGAAATTCTAGAAAAATCTTGAAAATTCCAGAAAATTCGAGAAAATTTCAGAAAATTTCAGAAAATTCCAGAAAATTTCAGAAAAATCTAGAAAAATCTAGAAAATTCCAGAAAATTCCAGAAAATTCAAAAATTAAAAATTTTCAGGTTGGCACTGGCTTAAGCTACTCGACGGGAATCAAATTTCAGCCAGAAAGTGTGAAAATCCAAGTTTTGGGTTATGGATTCGAATACGATAATGATGGTTTTGGGCTGAAAATTCCACTTCTGGACTTGAAATTCAAATGGTGGTAAAAAATCTTTTTTTCGTATATTTTTTTCAATTTTCTGTAATTTTTCAAGTAAAACAATTTCATTCACAAATAAAGCATTTTATTAATTGAAATAATTCGAATGATCACAAAAAAGTTTTTTGAGATTTTTTCGAAAAATTTCCAGAATTTTCTGGAAATTTCGAAATTGAAGACGTCGGCTTTCTGGATTCCTTGAATTCCAAAATTTTGGATTTTTGAGTTTTTTGGAAGCACTTGTACAGATTGATGGCTTCGTCGTGGTGCATTTCGGTGGACTGGACTCAGATTTTCGGGGAAAAAATCTGAAAAAATAAATTTGAATTTTTAAATTTTTTTACAAATTTCGAAACTTGAACCTCAAAAAAAGTAATTCGAAGGCCAGTAAAACAAAGAAATGAATGGAAAAACGTCTGAAAAAATATGAAAATTTCTCTCTTTTTTATACCAAAAATTTTACAGGTTTTTTTTCAACGAAACAGTTTCCAGAATATTTTTCCAGATTTTATCACTGATAAAAATTTCAAGTCTTTGAATTTCGTCAGAATTTGACACCTTCAAAATGATTGGTAGAATTTCATCATCTATAGACAAAGCAACAAACCCAGGACCCAGGACCCGAATCCCGGATCCCGGATCTCGTATTCCAGATACCAGATTCCAGATTCTGGATCTAGTATTCCAGATTCCGGATTCCGGATTCCGGATTCCGGATTCCGGATCTCGTATTTCAGATTCCAGATTTCGGATTTCGGATTCCGGATCTCGTATTCCAGATTCCGGATTCCGAATTCCGGATTCCGGATTCCGGATTCCGGATTCCGGATCTCGTATTCCAGATTCCGGATTCCGGATTTCCGAAAACTTTTAAAATCACGGACCGAAATTCCGTTATTTCTCTCAATTTCCCAACTTCCAAGCATCCAGAATTCTTCCTTCTACAACGCAGGTATAATATTTCAATTCTTTCTACATATTTTCCTTTTTCTTTTCCACCCCTCCTTTTCCCTCACTTTCTCTTTCTCCCAAAAGTAAACGAATAATGCATTTTCTTCTTTTCTCGGCGTTTCTTCTGGAAAGAACATTCTGATATTCAATCCGATTTTTGGATTTAGTCATGTCAAGTTTATTAGTAAAATGGCTGATATTATAGCTGATCATGGGCATAATGTTGTGAGGTCTTCAATTTATTTTTTGGTAATAATCCATTCGAAATCTTCTAGACTCTCTTCCAACCATTCCATATTGCAATGAAAAACATCGAAGGGCTTGTCAAAAACGAAAACATTGAGGTCGGTTCAAAGAACAACCTGAAATTGACCAACAAACATTTCAGATCATCAACTACTATCCGGACCAATACGAGGAAGACAGAAACTTTTCCAATGTTCTGGGATTCTCATTTAATGAATAATCCGATTCTTCAAGCGTTCATGATGCCTAGGTATCTAGTTTCACAACTTCAGAGGACTGCAGTTCGTGAGTTTCAGAACCTACAGTGTTTATCTAACTCGGATCAGTGATCCGATCAAACCAAATGCCGGAGAACTTCGAACTTTTTTGGGTAGAAAAAACCAGTCGGTTTCAGCCCCCTGGAGGCTCAACCTCCTGGCTTCCGTTCACTGTATCTTACAGTTGTATTTCTAATTTCTAGGTTTTCCACTTTCCGAGTGCCCGAAGTATTTCAATTTTTTAATTTTAGATGTTACTAATATCGGAATTTCTGGATACCGTAATTTCTCCAATAGAAGCCCACATCTGATAAAACATACGCATTTTTTCTTTTCAATATTCTGATGATTTCTGTTAAATCTTGTCGATTTTTTAAGAAAAAGCTTGAGCGTTATTTTGAAAATTTCGATTCTCAACCCAGTAAGTTCCCTGTTAGCTGGAAGGCCCAGGACACCATAGACATGGTGCGCTCGGTAGTCGATGACTACATACCACACACCACTATGGGAGTTCCGCATCCCTTTGAGTTATTCAAGTGAATGTCCGAGACAGACGGACACACAGACACAGACACACACACAGAAAAGTTTCCTTAGTAAGAAGTATGTTTCAGTGCTTCTGAAAGATCAATAAGTGTTGGATGAGCTGAAAAGCAGAAACTTCGATGTGATAATATCTGAAAGTATTGAACTTACTGGATTTCGTAAGTTTTCGAAACAATTCCTTTTCAATCAATTCATCAGTTTCCAGACCTCGCTCACCTTTTAGACCTTCCATGTATCCCGACCATGTCTGCTGTCCGTTTTTCAATTTTCAATAAACTGTTCGGTCAGCCATCAGCCATGGGATACGTACCTCATATTGGATCTAATATGGCTCCAGAAGCCGGACTTTTTGATCGGCTCAATGACATTTTCCGGAACGTCCTCATGCTGAACTGGATGGGACGGATGGCAGATCTCCAACAGACATTCATCGAAAACGGAATCGGAAGGCCAGTTCCACACTGGAAAGATTTGATCAAGCAATCACCAATTTACATAACTAATTCCAATCCTTATCTGGATTTTGCTGTCCCTACAACTGCCACAATTGTTCATGTAGGAGGTATAACTATGGATTTGAAACAGATGAAGCATGCGGGGAAGTTGCCAAAAGAATACGTTCCGATTCTCAATGAGCGAGAATCCACAGTTCTTATCTCTTTCGGATCAGTGATCAGATCTTTCCAAATGCCGGATAACTTCAAAGCAGGACTTATCAAAATGTTTGAGTCACTTCCAGATGTCAGCTTCATATGGAAGTATGAGAAAGATGACGCTGAATTCGAAAAGAAGCTTCCCAAAAATGTCCATCTCAGGAACTGGGTCCCCCAAGCTGCACTTTTAGCTGATGGTAGAGTGAAAGTTTTTGTGACTCATGGAGGATTAGGAAGTACGATGGAAGTCGCATACTCTGGAAAACCTGCATTAACGGTTCCAATATTCGGAGACCAACCAGACAATGCAATGATGTTGGCAAGGCATGGAGGTGCAATTGCCTATGACAAATTTGATTTACAAGATGGAGAAAAATTGACTAGAACTATGAAAGACATGGTTGAGAACCGAAAATATCAAGAAAAAGCCCAAGAGCTCCTGGAAATTCTTTCAAACCAACCAATTGATCCAAAACTGAATCTCATGAAGCATCTGGAGTTTGCTATGCAGTAAGTATTTCATATTCTCAAATTGCAAAATGAAACTCAATTTTTCAGGTTCCCAAACCTTCGATCTCAAGTTCCCGCAATCAATCATGTTGGATTTGTTGCTCATTATTATTTGGATGCTATTGCGTTTATTGCTGTTTTTGGTATGCTTTCTGTATATGGCTCGTACAGACTCATTCGTAAATTGCCGGTCCGGTTTCTATCAAAAAAAGCTAAGGATGAATGATTCGATTTTTAGCTGATTACAGAACATAAACTTTGTAGAAATTTAAATGAATCGATTGTACTTAAACTCCTTCTTCTTCTGTAACTCCTTCTGTACTCCTTCTGTGAAAATTATCCAGACGATTCGTTTCGACTATGGTTCTTATTGATAAGAGCGTGTCGCTGAATATTAAACCATGAGTCATTCAAACATTTTTGCACAATATTATGCAAAAATGTTTCGAAAACCATAATTACGTCATTCAAAAAACACCTAATCATAACTGGCTTGATGAGAGCCCACATGAATGAAATTAATCGATCTTCTTCACAACTCTTGAACTAAACTCTTCTTACAGACTGTTTGTCTAGTAGAATGGCGACATGATGTGTGCTGAAAATTACACATACACATACAAAAAATTATTTCACTATCATACTTCTTCTTATCAAGTACACCGAGTCACCGTTTTTTAATGGATAAAATGTGTCTCGCCGTCCACTTTTGCGGTTTTCATTCAACATGACGAGGTTGTTCTTTTTGATACTTTTGGCTGTTTTTGTGAAATCAGACCCACGCATTTTGCCGTTGAGCAAGTTTTCGTCAAGTTTATCTTCGTCTATAAATGGTGTAGAGGTAAGATTTTCAGAACTTGATAACATAAAAAAGTCGAATTTCAGGGAGGCGCAAAATTGTATCTGGCTTCTAGTGATGATAATAGCGTCCTCAAAAATATCATTATCACAACCAGAGCAACATCATTAACGTAAGTGGATATTTCGGAATGGTTGGACTACTACCTGTATTAGAAGGCCTCCCCCCTAGTTTCTAACTTTGATAAAGTTTTTCTCGATTTTTGTGAAAGATATAAAAAAGTTGTCAATTGATAAATTCTTCATCATAATATCAGAAATTTTTTGCCAGTTGACACATTTTTGATATCTTGCATGGGAATTGAGATAAGGGCCCTTCTATTACAGGTTCTTTGGTATTTCGTCACTTTTCAGATTAGACAAACTCAATGATTTCAACGATGATGGATCCCCTAAAAGTCTTCTCATAGCTGGAGATCTACGAGTCGACACTTCTAATAATGACACTGTCATGGCCAGTATGACCGGAAATCTTTATGTCACTAGCAAAGCACAAGCTGATGGTAAGTAACATTTTCCAGTGATCTTTCAATTTGTATTTTTTTCAGATCCAAACTTTTCCGTCTACGTCATCAAAGATCAACACACCATTAGCACGAGCGCTATGAAGTCTACAGTAGTGATTCTGAACACGTGGCTTGGCGACGTGTCTGCAGATTTGGACAAACCACTCCGCACTTCATATGTAACTGGAATCAATCAATCCCCAAATACAAACCTTTATTTCCAATGGGGAATCCCACCAACCGATTGGTACGAGTACACTAACAACACGTTCTTCAGGAATCCAATTAGTCTTATTAACGGTACATCACCTTCTAACATTACCTATACAAAAGTGTAAGATATCTTAAAACCGTTTATTTTATAGAAACTAAAATTTTCAGATTTTTTGATAATGTGGAGCCCCTCCAAATTGGACTTGATTACTGGTACTTCATGGTTATGGGTCCAGTGAATATGCAAATTTCGAAAAAGTATGTGAGCAATGATAACTATAACACTACCGCTGTTGACACTACTGGATTGATTGTGAACGACTTTCTTTATCAAGATCATGTTGTTAATTTCATGCCAGATCTAACAAGAACGGGAATTTCGGGAGTGTTTGTAAGTTGTGCAGTTTTAGCTGTTAGAGAAATTGCATTCCTTTTTTCAGTTCTCCCATTCCGCCTTATTGGGAACATTCGGTGTGTATCTGATGGGCGAGAAAGTTTCAGTCTCGTACTTTGGGAACTTAGCGTATCCCAATACAGTTAGTACCTACACCGAAGAACAGGCTACACAGTTGATTGTAAACAGTACATCTCATAGACCCGGAACATTTTATTGCCAATATTTCTCATTTGCTGGAGACGGCTGGCCAACTACAACCCCATTAACTACAGAATTGCCTACCACCACTCCAACTACGGTAGCAGCGACTACCACTACAATTGGAACATCAACAAAAGGAGCTGGATTTGTGAACAAGTTGGAATTCATCATTTTAATGATTCTCGGAGTTTGGTTTTCGTGATTTTTCTTCCAATATATTTGGGTCATAATCAATGTATAAATGTTTATAAATGTTTAAAAATAACTGAAAGACAAGGAAACAAAAACTGAAAAAAAACATAATACAAAATGTCAATAGCCCGTAATTGAAAACTTATTAGAGGATGGAGATTTGAGGGAAATTGCAGAATTTTGCACAAAAAGCGACGGAGCAACTTTTGAAGCGTCGTAGTTTCGATGAGTGATGTCGCGAAGGAGGTGTACAAGACCAAGTAAGTCAGAACCTCCGCTCACAGCGAGAACCTGGAATATTGATTTTATCTTTTTTTTCATACTTGTAATCCGGGCCTTTGCCGGGCCTACGCGGTCCCTACCGTAACTTCTTTCAGAATCTATATTTTCGAATCAACTAAATCAGATATGATAGAGCTCCACGAGTACTACAAAACGGTATTGTTTGGAATACTGTATCTTATCTATGAACAAAGTTACAGAGCAAAAGGAGCAAAAAAAAAAGCAAGCCCGCCCCGGGCCTGCCGGGCCCTGCGAG